CATGTTCAAGTTCGAGAACACAGAAACGCGTGCAAGTTCACCCAAACCCGCTCCAAAGAATAATCGAATTAAAAAATAGAAGTGCAGCGCACTCTCTGTATCATTCTGTGCTCAGGACCACCACACGCAAAAGCCACACCGCTGCTAGGACAGGCCGCGTGGCCGCATTTCAGGAATCAGGACACATCATGGACGAGAGCGGGTCCAGCAAGGGCAGACCCGACTGAGGTTGCTAAAAGAATATACGGTACAAGACGGACAATTCTTTAGAGGTCACATATAAATCAGTCACTAATATACATGCCAGGTTGATATTAGTTCATAATCACAACCGAGTGATCTCACACTACATCAGCTTTATAAAACTTTAGAAATTGCAGCACGCCAAACGGATACATGAGAATAAATAAAGGTCGATGTACGAAGGAACATTCATCACGCAATGCGCATCCTTGTACAATGTCTATATCATTTTATATTCTTTTAGGTATGGCTAGCTAGGGCCCTCAACATTCCATTATCTAATTAACTAGTCAGATTTATGAATCTGATACAAGCCTGATTGGCCTGTCAACTGGCTCACTAACAGATAAGTTGAAGCTTTTACAGATGAGAGCACATATCTGTATGCCACACACTCCTTTGCACAGCATGTAGACCAACGACTTAACAGAAGCGATGGAGACTGTACAGATTTTCAATGAAAAGTTGAGCGACGATACGTGCATACAACCGATAAATGATGACACTGCTTCGATGTCAAGCAGATGGATACGATTGCAATTTGTCGCTGCAATGTCATTCGTGGAAATTTGCCGCGTTTCTGTGGTTCACCCAGCCGAACTCCAATACTTCTTTTAAGATTTACATTCACCCCCATGAAATGTGTTCTGGATCTGAGATTCGCCCCCATGTTGTGGTAGCGGTTTTATGTTTTAGCGCAGGTTGTCTGAAAGTTCAAACAGCCTGTACAGACTTGAACAAAGTGTGTCAAGGGTGTTTCGTTAGAGTTCGAATACTTAAAGGCGGGGTGCAACTTCTTAGGAACAGTAGCAGGACAAACATGGAGTGTGCGTAACGAGACCCTTATTGGATGAAAAAAAAGGAATCTCGGAAAAGACAAACTTCTCGCCACAGAACTGCCTGCGACAACCAAGTTCCAAGCTATAATACTTCGAAGTTGAAGCTGATAGTTGGGCCACGGCTTTAACATCCTCCCAACCTACAACAACTTTTTGGGACGAGTCATGGAGCTTCAGCATTGCACACGGTACAGTTCTATTGGCATCTGTAGGACAAAGGGAGATCTAAAGGGCTGAAGCTGTCACAATACACTTCATACCCAGCTGCAATTTACCTCCACACGCCGATTAAACAGAAGTGCATTCACAACTTAGCGCGAAGAACGACCCACCAGATTCAACAATTCTGAAAGTCAATACATGCAGATAGTCACATCTACAGTGGCTGTCACCCATGCTTTCGTCACAGAGTTTGAGATTACCCCCCCAATTTGTACTTTGCCACAAGTTTCCTGTGGCGAAAGGTGCCAGTGACAAAAGGCACGGACTCGTTTCACTGTCAGAAAAATGAATGTGTTGCTTCGATTGAGAATGTGTTGTAGTCTTGTACTTTTATTGTGTATGGAGAGCAAAATTGCCAAATCGGCAGCTTGCCTGCAATGGATTCATCAATCACGAACTGTACCAGCGCATTCCTGCCGTTGCCATCTTTCCACGTCGCAAAGCCATCTTTTTCATATCTTTCATTGGTTGTCACCAGAAATTCCAGATCTTTTCCTTCTAGAGCATTCACTGTGCGTTTGTCGGGTACTAAGATTTTCCAGCCTGTCTTCCCTTCCCTTCCCTTTCCCCAGGCTGAGGAAGAAAACATTTCAAAAAGGCTCTTTGCTAAGTGGAAGGTAAAAATTCCCATGCTAGAGTAGTCGGCGTGGCGTTCTCAGAAACCCCTTCCATTCTGTGAATCAGGCAGGGAGACAAGTGACCACGGGGAGTCGACGTGGCGAGATTACAGCAAACCACAACAGAGGTGAGGACTTGGAGGGAGGCATGGAAAGCCAACGAGTCAACAAAACCATTCCACTCAACCCCTCCACCAGCAAAGCCAAGCCGCACAAGTGCAGATGCTACCTGATGTGCGAATCCGCGAGACACGCGGCGGCCTAGACAGCCAAGACGACTCCTCTCCTCCTCTCCTTCAAACCCTTGCCATTTCCATAGCCTTGGGAACATCAGTCGGAAATAGTCTGTTCAACCGTCGTTCCTCGTGGCAGTAGTAGCCCACACTCCATAACAGCTAGTCAGTCGAAATTTTGTTGATTCATCCTCGAAGCTTTTGATTCAACCAGCCGCGCAACATCTTCACGATGTTTACAGCCAATGCAGCACGAAACTCGAACAAACGAGCAGGAGCAGTGTGCCTCGACGAGACGGCTAGAAAAGACCCACATACCACCATGTTCATCGACCATTCCTTCCGCTCCTCGCGCTCTTTCGCGACGCTCGACACGTCAGCAGCTCAGCGGCCGCTTGGCCCACCCACGGACGCGCAACAGATCGTACCGCAGGTCCGAGCCCCAGAAGGAGGTGACGGCGCGATGCGATCGATGCTATCAGTGGATCACGTGACGCTGCCTTCTCAAACATTATCTGGAAATGTCGAAGAAGCCGCGGATCTGTTTTCCCCCGAAGGCTGCGTGATTCCTTCCAAGAAATTTAGATTAGGGCCGGCCGAAGACCGTGTTGACTCAGCGGCCGTGCTGGGGGCTTCGCTGCTTCTATCAAGGCCGCTTGTAGCGGGGTTAGCTGGCGACCGATCCGTTCCTTCCATCGACGAAGACTGCCTAGCGTCGCAGCCGTCCTTATCGCATATACTGAACCCGCAGCCTGACGCCACTTCGCCAGTTCTCGTAGTCTCTTCCGCGATTAACAGCGAACCTGATTACAGCTTTTGCAGCTTCGGACAGCGCCAGACGTGGCGGTTTGAAGCAGGTTCTCCCGACGAGGAAACGGAGGAAGCGGATGGAGCGGTTGCAAACAGTAACGGCCCATTCTCATTCTACGTTGACGATGATGATGCTGATGAAGAAGATGATTGTGACGATGCAGCGGAAAGCGGCGCGGATTGTCAATCATGGCGGCTAGACGTTGATCTGACTCTTCAGTGCACGAGGGGCCGCCTCTGGGGATGCTCTGACGTGATTGGCTCCATCGATTTCGATGAGTCGGGTAACTATTTCGCCACTGGTGGCATTTCGCGAAAGATTCGCGTGTATTCGCTATCGTCGCTCCGTTCGCTCAAGGACCGGAAGCTGGAGGGATGGCGGGAAAGATGGGGACGACGGAGCTGTGAGATCGGATCAGCAAAGGCGGATTCGTTGGGCGACGAGGAGTTTTGCAACTACGGATTATCTTCCGCGGGGTCGCGACGAGGAAAGCGGCGCGCTGCTTCGACAAGTGATCTTCGACGATACGTCGAAGCTTCTGACCGAGACGATGCAGATGAGGAGGAGGCTTGCATACTCGATACGGACCAATCAGCGTCCAAGATTATGTGCTGCGCCGCGAAATTAAGTTCCGTGATGTGGGTCCCCGGATCTAGTGGCATTATAGGCGCGGGTGACTATGACGGGGTCTTTGCGGAGTGGGACATCGAGAAGGGGCTCTGCGTTACAGAGAGGGAGGAGCACGAGGGGCAGCGCATCTGGTCGGTCGATTACTCCCAATGGATGGGATCCAACGGCAAGCCGATGTCCGTTACGGCATCGAACAACGGAGCGGTATGTCTCTGGTCGGCAGACTCGGAAGACAGCGTGGGGATGATCCGATTGGCTTCCGGCAAGCGTGCGATCTGCAGTGCGAAATTCGGTCCGGCTAAGGGCGGCGAGAATCTTCTCGCATTGGCCGGAGCCGATTCGAAAGTGTACTTGTACGACCTTCGGAATCTCCAGGAGCCGCTTCTTTCGCTCGCAGGGCACCAACGAACCGTGAGCTTCGTGCGATTCATGGGCCCAGGCTCCCTGGTTTCCTCATCCGTCGATTCTACCGTCAAGCTGTGGGACGTCACGGGTTCGAATCCCAGCAACGGCGTTTCTGCATCGACCGGCTCCCCCAGCCGGATACCTAAAGCTGCTAGTGCTAGTGCGACCAGCGACCGTTCTATTCTTCCAGTCCCAGAGGTCTCTAATCACCTGCGTGCGAGCTGCGACGACCATCTTAACGTGCGGAACTTTGTCGGGTTATCCGTCAGAGAGCTAGACGGCGGTTCAAGCTACTGCCGCGGCGGTACTACCAGGTGCGGCAATGGGACGTCAGGTTCCGCGGGTGGTTCGGGAGCCGGGCTTATCGCAACAGGCTCTGAGAGCAACGAGCTGGTGATTTACCACGTGGACTCCAAATCCCGTTGCAGTTGCGCGCTAAAGTTCGACTTCGGCTTCGCTAAGCCGCCCGGGAACTACGGGAGTTCTGACAGTAAGGGACGGTCTAGGACCCCTACCTTGGGAATGACCGGGAGAGAGAGCAGCAGCGGGGGAGAGATGAGGGGAAGCGGAAGCGGAAGCGGAGGTGGTGGTGGAAACGTCTTTGTGAGCGCCATTGGCTGGCAGCAGCGCCCTGAGAGTGACCTGCTTGCTGCAGCCAATTCCCAAGGAGTAGTGAGGATTCTTCGGACCCAGTGTGAATAGTTGAGATACATGTGTACACGAACCTAGTGAATTCTTTTAGATGTTCTTGAAAATTAAACCCAATCTTACTTCTCCCTAAGACTGCTATGTGCAAATCTTCCCATAGGTCTCTGCTTTAGCACTCTATGGTGCAACAATACACTTGCGTCCACCTTTCAGCAAGTCATAATGATAGATCTAACACAACAATGGAAGCAACAAAATGGATGTTAACAGCCACGTTTTGTGGCTGAAAAGCTACTCTATGCAATCAAGCTCACACTAAACACATTGCCAAGTTGAGAGAAAATTAGATTCGTTATTCTGCTGCTTTGAACCTCTTCTGTGCACGTTCTTCACTTGCTGCCCTCTCCATGCTTGCACTCCTCTCCATTCTATAATGCCCTCCCACAGCCTCCTCTCTCATCCCTCCTGCCACTCCTCCCTCTCCCCCTCCTGCAGCAGCAGCTGCTGCAGCGGCTGCTGGGTCTGCCATCCCTGAACCTGCCCCAAGTCCAGCCATCCCTGCTGCCGGCCCACGCATTCCATGCATCGCAGCTAGGCTCGGGTGCAGCCCCCCTCCTGCCGCGGCGGTTGCCACCGCAGCCGCTGCAGCAGCAGCATAATTATGAGGGGAAATACCCGAACCAGGGAGGTGCATACCCCCAGCACGCAGAGCCTCGAGGGAATACGCCCCATGGTGTGCTGCTGCAGCTGAAAGCGCAGCTGCATGGTGGTGGGAGGCATATGACTGGAGAGACTGGAACGACGCATGAGAGTGCGCTGTTCCTGAGGCTCCTCCTGCTGCGGCAGCAGCAGCAGCAGCAGTCCCAGCACCAGTAACAGGAGCAGAACCGGCTGCTTCAGCAGCAGCAGCAGCAGCAGTGGCACCAGCGCTTGCCGCCGCCGCAGCCGCCGCCGCCGCAGCTGCTGCCGCTGCTGCAGCAGAGGAGTTATGAGCGTGGTGCTGATAGTAAGCAATCTCAGCAGCAGACGGGCCGTACGCTGCGGCGGCGGCAGCAGCAGCGGCAGCAGCAGGATCATGCCGATAAGCCATGGGCTGGTGATGATGGTGATACATATACTGCGCCATGTGATTCACCCTTCCCAACATCTCCTCAGCCATTTTCACCTTAGCTCGTAACGCCTCCACATCGGATTTCAACACGCGGTTGTCGACAGCAGCGTCGCTGTATTTACGCCCGATTTCTCCGAGGCGGCTGGCCAGGTTAGCGTTTTCGATCTGCAGCTGAGTCACCTGCGTCTCCATCTCCCCCATGTGCGCCTGCTTTCGCCGCCGCGACCGCCGCGCCGACTCGCGATTGGAGAGCATCCTGCCACGTGGACAGAGGTGGGCCGGAAGGGACACAATGACGTGGCATGCAATACAGGCGAGATAAGCTAATTCACATCCTGCATGAACCGATGGGTGGTAGTGCACTGATATATTGATAATCTTCCAGCCTTTGGTATGTATATATGCTAATTTTGATTTCAGATCAGCTCAACTCAACAATATTCTTACCTCTTGACTCGTTTGATTTCCTCCGGATCAGTCAGATGCTCCAACGACGCTACCAGCTCATCCTCCCCTTCCGACCTCCCCCCATCATCAGAATGATTCTCATCCGACCCAACCCCAATCTCCCTTCCCCCTCCCCCATGCGGGCCCGCCCTCGTTCCCCCTCCCCCTCCCCCCCGCCCGCTCGATGCTCCCCCCAGACCCCTCTTTCCCCCACCCTTTCCGCCGGCTCCCCCCTTTTCTCCCCTGCCAGAGGTCGGGCTGGCGGCTTCCGCCGCGCCAGGCGGCGCGCACAGGCGGCCCATTTCCTCGGGGGTCGGGTGGACCACGGACGGCGGGGGAGGCGGAGAGAGAGGCGCGCCGTTCGCCGACGCGGCAGTGCCATTTGTCGCCATGCCATTGGCTACGGCTGCGGCTGCGGCGCTTGCGGCGGAGGCGCCGGTCATGGCAGCTGCTGCGTCCGCGGTAGGCGCCTGAGGGACGGCGGGCGGACGCAGGGAATAAAGGGTGGGGGGGAGGCGGGGGGGGGGGGGGGGTTTGTGGGTGTGGGGGTTGTGGGTGGGGGCGGGGAGAGGGGGGGGGGGAAGAGGGGGTAAGCGGTAGGACGGAGGGGGGAATGGTTTTGATCTCCATGCGGAAGTGCGGGAACAGGAGCGGAACGGGGGCGTAAGGAGAGATTAAGGGGGGGTAGAGGAATGCGCGAACGCAACAACGGGCTGGAAAAAGGTCGGAGCGAGGGGCCACAGGGATTGACGGAGAAGATCAGTGGCAGAGACGAAACGGGGGAAAGAGGGTGTGGGTAACCGGATCTGCGACATCTAAACCCCGAAGATATGGACAGGCGCTCTTTCCAGGTCATTCATACCTGCTCTGCTGCCGCTGCCGCTGCCGTTGCCGCTGCTGCTGCCGTTGCCGCTGCCGCATCCGCTGCCGCGCCTAACGCGCCTGACGCCAATCCCTTGCTAGACGGGGAGCGGAACACCCCGAGCCCGCCAAAACTTCCCCCATCCCCTCCAGCAGTTGCCCCGCCCCGCCCCGCCTCCGCTTCTTCCCCCGCTGCCCGCCTTGGCGCAGATAACCCCAGCCGCGGATCCCCCCCCGCCAGATCTAACCGACTATGCCTGCTGCCCCCCATTGCGCCGAGCCCGTCAGCCGTAGCGCCTCCTGCGGCGGCGGCGGCGGCAGCGGCGGCGGCGGAAGCAGACATTCCCGCATCACCTTCTGCTCCTGGCCGGCCGAACATACTTAGGTTAAGCCGCGACGGGCTCTCCCCTAAGAGCTTATCTAAGCTCGGAACGTGGCTAAGGCCGGCCATTAGAGGGCTGACTCCGCTGAACCCTGTCACTGTCCCCGCTGCAGTCTGCTCCTTTATAAACTCCTGAAACGCCCATTCCGAGGATATTCTGTTCATACGATGGAAAGAGCCTGTGCGTGGGATAGGACGCTGTAGCTCGCTGCTACCCAAACCGACGGACATTCCGCCGGAATATCCGCCGGGGAAGGCGGACGCCCCTGGAGGGAGAAGCCCGCCAGAGGCGGCAGCAGCGGCTGCGGCGGCGGCTGCAGCAGCGGCGACATCGCCTGACGACTCTACCTTCCAGAATGTTCCTAATATATCATCTACTGAGAAAACTCTTTCCATTTCAGCAAACAGATTCACGAAACTAGAATGCTATTATATGAAACACTTGATGTAACAACAGCCTCGACAGCAGGAATGGCCTAGGTTATCAGAAACGAGTTACGATCAAACATGAAGATAAAATAATCATCCTCAATAGCGAACTTGGTAATCTACCACGATCGACACGACGTATTGCTCCTAAGAAAACCAAGCCAAAATTGCGATTAAAACACTAACATGGTTTGATGAAACTAGAGTGATCAGAGCGATTCTAACGGACTCTTGCAGTTGGTTTGGATCAGCTCTCCGCGACAACTCCCTCGGGCTCTCCAACTCGTGCAGGCGGGGTTTCTCTGGTTCCGTTTTGACGTTCAAACGGGTGGGTCAGATGGGAGATGCTGGTGATGCGATGACTCAGCTGTGGGCCGTTGCCAACGTCACCCGGGGCCCTGCCTCCGTGTCCTCTGGCCCAGCCTCTACCAACCACTCGACTGACACCTGACCAGAAAACGCTTTTCAGACTCTGTGCACTCTCGGAAAGGGGTAGGCGGGCAGTGCGAATGAAAAAGATCGGCTCAGTGCTAAAATCAGCCGTTCGATACGATGTACACGAATTCGACGGCTTCGACTGATCCAATTATGAGTTTCCCTCCGACCCGCATTCCAAAAACTTTCGTAGCGAACCCACACCACTTGATCGCATCGCCAACACGAGGAGCCACTTGTGAGAAGCCTGGACAACAACCGAGTGTTTACGACGGCTGTCTTTCGCTCCTGGACTTTAGCGTGTGTTCTAGATGTGCGGGATAGACCTCCACATTTATCGGCGCCGCGTTCCCAAGCTTGTGAGAATTGAACGGACCATACATTTCTGCAGGAGGGAGGCAAAACCCTCGGTGTGTTGTGAAGGAATCTTGTCATCGATGACGTGTCCCTACGTGTGCCAGATAAGCCGCTATGCAATCGTGATGAGTTGGCTGGGTATGCCAGCCACAGTTCAAATTGATCAAATTGGGGCCGAGGAGTGCCAGAGGGATGACCGAAGTAGGGCCAGAAAATCTCGACCGTAGGATTTCAACCCCGAGCTGCTCTAGAGGCTAGGCGAACAAGCCGAGCCGTGACTAAAAGAGAAATGCTACCAGAACCAAACTTTGTGTCCAACTTATTTAAGAAAAGGGTTACGACCGCCGTCTACTACTACGCGCGCATCGCGTACTTCTGGAAGTAAATATTGCTGTGTTAATTTGTGAGTCCAAAAAATATATATTTTATTATGGGTGATACATATCACTACCTGATCGGAAACGCGCAGAACAAAAAATATTACCCATTTGGAAACGGATGCGACTAGGGAGGCATCAACCCTAAACACAACGAAGGTTCCCGTTTTTAGGGTTGATACATCCCGAAAATGCATCCAGGTTCCCCAGGGGTTTTTGTTTTTTTTGGCTGCCCTAAGAGTTTCTGGCTTGCTAAACGACGCTATTGGGTGGAAGGTGATGAACCAGTAACTATTTCCATGAAAAATGACGCGCGAGCGAAAATGCGATATGTTAACGGACATACGTTCAATAAATGATGACCCTCTGCAAATAACTTTTTGAGCAGTGGTTTGGTTAGTTCCGGGCCTCTCGGCCCCTGTTCGATCACCTTTCGGGCACTGTTCGGCCCCTGTATGATCTTTTCCCTTCAAAGTTTCATACCGTGCAATTGTGCAAAGGTGGGATACTTTGTTCGCGTCATTGTGTAAGGTTTCGACAACCTCCATACGAGGTCTACTGAAAAACGCACTAGTACCGGATCAGTCAATGCCGCAACGTTTAGAGTGTACACCGACAGTGTGCAACAGTGTACACTTCTCGTAGCCTTTCGGTGAGCGCCGCCGACGTCTGTGGGTGGAATGCTTGGCCATCGTGTGAAACGAAGCTTCGAGACATTCAAACGTTCACTGAAGATTCTCAAGCCGAACCTGTATGAAAATGGTTTGGAACTTCGGACCTAGACTAGGCCTGAGCCTAGCAGCCAATCCAGGCTTGGAAAAAACGATGCGCACTAAAGATCTAGCCACGTGTCCAAGAGCCTAGCCGTCAGCCTGACACGTCTCGCAACGCAATCCGATTTCGACGGGTTTCCTGCGCGTGGTCGGAGTGTGATGTGGTCGTCGTGTCGGCTCCACGCGACGAAAACGAAAGTGGGGGAGGGAACGAGGGGAAATCAACACGGTTCGGTTTGGACGCCTGGGGCGGCAGCAAGGTGTGATGCGATGACGGTGTGCTGCGCCCCGGGGCATGGTTTGCAGCAGAAAATCCTTCCCCATGCCTCTTTCCCCTCTCACGTTCGGCACCCAGCTTCCGTGCGGTTCGTTCCCCCAAGCCCCCCAAGCCATTTCTGCCGCCCGGCGTAGAGCGGTGGCACATTAACCGAACCTAACCAGTTTAAAACCATCAGTAAGCCGCTTAAAGCCTCGTTTCTTCCTGGCCTTCCCTCGTTTTGCTGCTTCTCGAAATTGCGCCCTTCCTCCTCCCCCCCTTGCACCCAGGAACAGTCATAACGCCGTCATCTCGAAACAGCACTCATACCATTCGCTCCACTCCCATTATCCACCTACAAAAATTGCTTCATTCCCTCTTCTTGCACGTGAGCTGCCTGCATTTCTAGCTTGCACCAGCGGATTACAGCCACTAAGCGAGTTAGCAGAGTCTTATTACCGGATAACTCGGATAACTGAGAATAATTAAGTATAATAAGTACACGCTCAATAATCGAACGTGCTCTATAGCGCCATGTCTCCCACATTTCTCCCTTTCTCTCACAAGAGGCGCCCTTCCAGGCAAGAACGTCTCGTTCTCACCTGCTCTCTCGCCCTCGCGACCCTCATAGCAGCATTCGCTCTGCTCGTCCCATCAGCCGCCGCCGCGCTGAAGCTCGGCCCTTATATCGCGCCGGGCGCCACGGACAACCGCGGCCCGTGCCCGGCCTTCAACACCATGGCGAACCACGGCGTCTTCCCCCGCGACGGCTCCGCAATCAAGCGCAAGCGCATCGTCAACGCCTTCCGCAAGTTCTACTCCTTCTCGCCCACGGTGACGAACGCGCTGATCAACGGCGCCATGTCGAAGGGCGTGGGGGATAAAAAGGCGGGGACGATCGACCTCGTGCAGCTCCGCGCGCACAACAAGATCGAGCACGACGTCTCGCTGGTCCGCGACGACGCGTATCTCGGTAACAACTACGAAGTTAACGTTACGCTGTTCAACCAAATGCTCAAGTTCTCCTCCACGAAAAAATACATCACTCTTCGCGAGATCGGTCGCTTCCGCAAGCACCGCTTTTACGCCTCCCATAAGAACAATCCCCAGCTCAACTACGACACGAATTTCGAAGCCGTGGCGTTCGGGGAAGCAGCGGCGCTCGCGGGGGTTTTCGGCGGAAGACTGCGCTTTTACGCGGTTCCGATTGACTACCTCAAGTCGTTTCTCCGTGATCAACGGTATCCGAAAGGCTTCAAGCCGCCGCTTATTCCGCTGAGCTTCCCCGAGCTGCTCGCCGTCGCGGGGCGCATCAAGGTCGCCGCGTTTTTTGCTTAAGGAACGAGAAAGCTCTGTGTCGCGATGGCTTTAAACGCAGATACGAAGTAGGCGCTATTCTGCTGTAGTAGCCGACTTTGGGACAGCGTGGCTCGTAATCGTTGGCCATGGCGGACTGGAGGAGTGGTTTTCTTGTGCTTTATTGTAGTACCCGAGTAAAACCAGCGTCTTGCGTTGTTGCCCGAACTTTATATCTTGGTAGTTTTGGTAACAGCGTTTGGCTGTTTATGTACCCCGTCGCATTCATCTACAAGTACGGTATTTATGAGAATATACCACTGCACATATTCATCTAGGCTGTGCAAAAGGTTATCCCTTTACTCTGTCTGCCTGTGCTAAGGTGTTCTCACAGTTCACTGAAACTCAACCACAGCAGCCCATGTTGCATTTGTCACTTCTAGATTGAACTCATCATTTCAACCCCTCCTGTAGGCCCCCTTTTCAAATAAATTCCTCACTTGACTTTACCCACAGGATGTTATCAAAGACATTTATGTTAGAATATGGTGTATTCTTATATAATTGCATGTTTTAGCTAGTAGTGTAGGGTCTTGGTGGTATACCCCCCTTTGTCCACCTTTCCTACCTATTTCTTGTAACTCTCTCATATTGTAAACCCCTCTTTTGTTTGGCCAACACCTCTCCTTCCTAGCTCCTAGGGTTTCCATGTCTCCTAAGTTCTAACTACCTCTCTTGACAATTTAGACTAAAAGCCACAGGGACATGCCCTTACTGCACCATACCCACATACACAGCCAGTAGCGCCACATCATGTCCCCGGACGCACATGGCCGTACAAACAATTTGCACATCACAATGTAGGGCTCCATTTGTTGAAGGGACCAGTTAAACGCTTATAAAGTTATAATGTACTCTGTGCAACTCCATTTGCCTACCGCTCGAGGTTGTCCCCTTGTCCACATGCTGAAAATCTGGGCCTCAGTTTTTAGACACCATGAAAGAACTGCATAATCTATCGGCTAATTCTCTGTGCTCCTAGCCTCATGCCAGTAAGCTTCTTCCCCCCACTGTCATCCCCGAGCATACTCTCTAGATCCATATTCGCCCCTGCTGGCAGCTTCACATGCCCACTTGCCACACCACCACCTCCGCCTCGGCTCGCTGCCGAACCTCTGCCAGCCGCCGAGCCGGACGCGCCAGCTCCGGCGCGGAGAGGCTTGGCGGAGCTGACAGGAGCGGGAGCAGCAATAGCAGCCCATGGGTCCTCATCCTTATTGGTTGAGTGTGAGGCAGCAGCAGCAGAAGAGGCTGCTGCTGGTGCCGGTTTCCCCCTTGTCACACCCAGCGTCCCACCTGCCTTGCTTGCTGCTCCCCCACCTAATCTCACCCCTGCTGGCCGCACTGGTGCTGCTTTTTGAGGCGACGCTGTGGCAGTGCTGCCTCCAGCTGCTGCTGCGGGGGTAGCAGCGGGAGCATGATGCACCACTGGACGTTGCTGTGCTGCCTGCATGCGAGAGAGCGACGCTGCTGCTGCAGCAGCAGAAGCAGCAGCAGCACCCTTACTCGCAGAACTCTCCTCCCCATCATCCAAATCTCCCCACCCGTCCCCATCCTCCTCCTCCTCCTCTGCTTCAGGTTCAGCTGGGGAAGGTGCGGCTGGGGCAGGCTTGGAGAAGGTGTGAGAGGAGGGGGCGGTGGGTCTGGCAGGGGCTGGTCGGTGCACTGATGAGGGCTTTGGTTTCGGCTGCTCTTCCTCCTCCTCTTCCTCGATTTCGTCTCCCCACCCATTGCCCTCAGGCTCTGATGCTGCTGTCATATACATGGTGGTGAGGTGAGGAAAGGGGATATTGGGGGGGGAAGAGAAGCAGGAGAGAGGGGGGTAAGACCAGTGAGCGATGGCAGGAGATGGAATCATATGAGTAGGTTGTGAGAGTTTCTGGGGAGGTTGGCCAAAGAACCAGTCGGAGTGAGTGCGAGAAGGACATGGTCTGAGAATGAAGGGAGGCCGTAACATGAGAGAGAGTGGAACTGAAAGGCAAGAGATGGGATGGGCTGTAATGGGATGAGATGCGATGGGCTGTAATGGGATGAGATGCGATGGGCTGTAATGGGATGAGATGCGATGGGCTGTAATGGGATGAGATGCGATGGGCTGTAATGTGACAAGCTAGTGACAAGAGACATGCTTCAAGCTCATGCCCAGCCAGACCACGAGTTCAAGAGAGGTAACACACCAGCGGCAGCAGCAGCAGGGGCAGCAGCAGCAGAAGTGGCAGTGGACGAATCTCCTGCTGTCCCGGCAGGTGGTGCAGTGGGGCCCGCCTTGGGCCCTGCTGAGGTGAGTGAGCTGACCGCCCAGCTGGTGCGGGAGATGGCAGGGGGATAGGAGGGACAGGGAGGGAAGGAATGAGGAGTTGTAAGGCAGAAGAGGGAATGAATACGAGTGTTGCCAAGCTGGTGTTTGGCCCTGCTGAGCTGGTGTTTGGCCCTGCTGAGGTGGACGTAATTGACAGCCCAGGTGGTGCAAATGGGACGAGAGAGCATATGAGCGGATATGAGTTGAGATGAGACGAGGTGAGACGAGATGAGAGAACACACGCACTTGAACATCCCTCCAAAAGACGACTCAACCAACGCAGCAGCATTTCAACTCACCCCAGCAGCCCTCCAGAAGAGCCGGAAGCAGCAGGAGCAGCCGCAGCTACTGCTGCTCCATGAGCTCGTTGCTCGACTGAGTGCCCTTCCAGCTGCCAATGCAACGAAGGGTCAAAAGCAGCGGCAGGAGAGGGAAAAGCGGGAACAGGGTAGGAAGTGAGGTGGGAGCAGCGAGAGCTGCAGCAGCTGCTCCGTGGGCTCGTTGCTCGACTGAGCTCCCTTCCAGCTGCCAATGGAAAGACGAGGCCAAAAGCAGCGGTATCGGGCAGGAGAGGGATCAGTGGGAACAGGGTAGGAGGAGAGCATTGCAAGGGAGAAGGGACAGTAAAGAGTGCATGATCATCAAAATCTTAGCAAGAGACAATGGAAAACATGTATGGCTGGAAGGGAGAAGACAGAGAGAAGTAAGGTGCTTTGGAACTGGAGAGGGTGGGGGGTCACATTGGGTTGACAGCTGAGCGTTGAATGAAACGGGGAGGGGAAGAGTGAGGGGAGGAGGGAAGGGGAGAGAGGGGGAAGGGGGTTTGATTGATGCGGGAATGGAATGTGGTAACTACCTTGGCGTGGAAATTAGAGACGGACTGAAGGAATGAAAAGGCAGCCTGGACGGCCCTGGTGTGCACATCGGCTATATCTGAATCAACTTTGAGAATTCCTACGAATGAAACGTGCTAATCACACCTTGGCGTGGAAATCAGAGACGGACTGGAGGAATGAGAAGGCGGCCTGGACTGCCCTGGTGTGCACGTCACTGGCAAGGGGGTGAGAGGTGGAAGGGGGGGGGGGTTGGTGGGGTGAAATGATGACTGTGGAGGCGCCTCAGAAGGAATGAGAAGGCGGCCTGGACTGCCCTGGTGTGCTCGTAGGCAAGGGGGTGAGAGGTGGAAGGGGGGGGGGTTGGTGGGGTGAAATGATGACTGTGGAGGCGCCTCAGAAGGAATGAGAAGGCGGCCTGGACTGCCCTGGTGTGTACGTCACTGGCAATGGGGTGAGAGGTGGGGGGGGGGGGGTGGGTGGTGGGGTGAAATGATGGAGAAGTAAACGGCTGGAGAGCCAACATATGCACATTTGCAGGAAATTAGCTCTCCAAGAACCAAGACCCTATGGCCAGGAGTGCAGGGAGATAAGGCAGACTCACGTGTCAGCATCTACTGTGAGCGCCACCAAAGCAGGCAGAATGACTTCTGATTCGACTCATGAAGTACACTCAAGACACCCATGACGCATCTACAGTGAGAACCCTTTGAGGCGCCTCAAACCAAGTGGCTTTTGAGTGGACTCAAAAGTCACCTCGCCTCAAACCTCATAAAGTGGACTCGCGTGTCGGCATCGACTGTGAGCACCATCAGAGCAGGCAGAATGCCTTTTAAGTCGACTCATAAAGCACACTCACGTGATTTCTGAGCACCTTTCTCGGGAGCCTCAAAACCCATCAAGCGGACTCACGTGTCGGCATCAACAGTGAGCACCACCAGAGCAGGCAGAATGCGGGTGGCGATCTCAGTGGCGTCGTAATACTCCCTGGTTGCTGACAGCGCCATGATGCCTGCATGGGGCAATGTGAACCGGATGTGGGGGGAATTGGTGTCGGGGGAAATGGTGGGGGGGGGGGGCGAGGTGAGGTGGCGATCTCAGTGGCATCGTAGTACTCCCCCTTGTGGCTGACAGCGCCATGATGCCTGCACGGGGAATATGAACCGGGTGTGGGGGGGGAGGGAACGGTGTGGTGGGGGTGAGTTGGCGACGATGTGAGGTGGCGATCTCAGTGGCGTCGTAAAACTCCCTTGTTGCTGACAGCGCCATGATGCCTGCATGGGGGGGTGTGAAGGTGTTGTGTGGGGTGGAAATGGTGGGGGGGGAATGGTGGGAAGGGGGTGATGTGTGTGAGGTGGCGATCTCAGTGGCATCGTAGTACTCTCGTGTAGCTGACAGCGCCATGATGCCTGCACGGGGAACGTGGAGAGGGTGCGCGGGACGGAACATGGGGGCGATGCGATGGGGTTGTGGGGGCGACGATGTGAGGGGTGGCGATCTCAGTGGCATCGTAATACTCTTGTGTAGCTGACAGCGCCATGATGCCTGCACGGGGGGGAATGGTGGGGAGGGGGGTGAGAGGGATGATATGCAGGGGTGGGGGGGTAATCTGAGATTTTGGGGGCGGTGCAATCACTAGGATATCCAGTATGTTGAAAGCAAAAGATAAAGAACAGAATTTGCAGCAGATTCACATTCCTGCGTTTTTTGCTAATGATGACTGCTGCAACCGCAGCCACGGCAAGAGGGGGTAGGGGGAGGTCGTACCTGCAGCTCTGGCAGGGGGGAAGGCGTCTCTTAGAGCGCGGACAGTGAAGGCATTGATGAGCACTCGCTTGCGCGTCTGTGGGCGCCACAGGGAGGAAAGAGAGAGTGTATGTCAGGGTGGTGGTGGGGTAGAGAAGAGCGGGACGTGCAAAAGGTTATACACAACGTGAGGGTGAAGGCATTTGATGAGCACCCGCTTGCGCGTCTGTGGGCGTCACGGGGGTGGGGTGATAAAGTGGAAAATGAGGTGCGTGAGGGGAGGGAGTGAGTGGAGGGAGGGAGTGAGTGGAGGGAGGGAGTGGGGATGAGCACTTGGGTGTACGGACCACACTTTAGAATTCTAGAGCGTGGGGGTTCACACTTTAGAGTCCAGTCTGACTTGAATGGGGTGCAACGTTTTGAGTCCGACTCAGAGCGTCGTTGAGGCGATGTTTTAGGCGCCTCAAAAACGAGCTCAACGCACAGCGTCACTGAGGGGCCAAACGTTCTGGGTGCCACTCACAGAGTCGTTGAGGTGCCTGGCGATGTTGCCGAGCAGAATGGTGGTGTTGGTGCGAATGGGTGTCTTTTTCTGAGGCGACTCAAAAACCAACTGACGGCGTCACTGATGGGGGCCTGGCCAAGGTTTCGAGTGCAACTCACAGAGTCGTTGAGGGGGGTCAACATATGAGCCCAACTCACAGAGTCGTTGAGGGGGGCTAACATATGAGTGCAACTCACAGAGTCGTTGAGGTGTCTGGCGATGTTGCCGAGCAGAATGGTGGTGTTGGTGCGAATGGCTGCCTCCTCATCCACCTGGCACATGGGCAGTCGGGAGGAGTGGATGCAAGGATAAGGACAGGTGGGTGGGAGGAAGGGATGGAAGGAAGGGCAGTTGGGAGAAAGGGAAGCAAGGTCAGATGCGAGGAAGGGATGCAGGGAAGAGACGGGATGGAAGCAGGATCAAGAAGACAGTCAGATTGGTACTAAACAGAACAGCAACAGAGAAGCTTGTTCTTTGCAACTGGTAGTAGGATGGGGGCAAAGGAAGCAAGGGCAGACCAGAGGAAAGAACGGGAAGTGGTTGAAGGGGGGAGAAACGGTTGCGAGAAATCCCAGAGATTGAGAGAGACGGAACGCACCTGCAGCTTGGAGAGGTGCTTGAGCAGCGCCCCCCCGAGAGTGCGTTGGGAGAGCTGGGTGGAGGGGTGCAAAAGGAGGACCAAGGAAGAGGGATACGGAAATATTGGGTGCGCCTTGGAGCTTGGAGAGGTGCTTGAGCAACGGCCCTCCGACAGTGCGTTGGGAGAGCTGGGTAGAGGGGTGGAAAAGGAGGACCAAGGAAGAGGGATACGGAAATGTTGGGTGTGCCTGAGCTTTGAGAGGTGCTTGAGCAGCGGCCCTCCGAGAGTGCGTTGGGAGAGCTGGGTGGAGGGGTGGAAAAGGAGGACGGGGGGAAGAGGGAAATGGCAAGGAGAGGAAATGTTGGGTTCGCCATGCATCTTGGAGAGCTATCAGGTATACGTACCTACCTCAGGTGGGCAGACTCAGCTTGGGTGGAGGGGAGGGTGAAGCACCACCAGGTACATAGTGTGAAAAGAGACATACCTTGGGTGCAAGCTGCAGCATGGACTTGAGGGTGAGCTCTCTCAGCAGCACCGAGGCATCAGTGAAGCCGGAGCTGAGGTGAGGTGCGGAAACACCTGCTCCTCCGCCACGCTAGAGGCAATCTGTGGGGGCTAGCTAGCCACACCTTGGGCGCGTATAGAGAAGCACCTTGGGCAGAAGAAATACGTACCTTGGGAGCGAGGAGCAGCATGGACTTGAGTGTGAGCTCTCTCAGGAGAGCCGACGTGTCAGTGAAGCCGGAGGCGAGGTGCGGAAACACCTGCTCCTCTGCCACGTTGGGGGCTATCTGCGCTCCGAACGAGTCCAGATTCTGCAGCAGTGACACCCGGATGGCTCGGTCTGACGAGCCAAAGAGCTTGACTAGAGTGGGGAGAACCTGGGGACGGATGGGGGGAGGACGGGGAGGAGGAAAGAAGGTATTTGAGTTGAGAGTGCCTCCAAGATTGGGGGCTGTCTGCGCTCCAAACGAGTTCAGATTCTGCAGCAGCGATACCCGGATGGCTCGGTCCGACGAGCCAAAGAGCTTCACAAGAGTGGGAAGCACCTGAGGCCGGATGGGGGTTGGGGAGTGGGGGGGGAGGATGGGGAGGAAAGTGTTTAAGTTGAAATTCACGCGCCAAAGAAACTTACGCGCCAAAGAATTTCACGCGCCAAAGAAAGAAAGCAGGAAGGAAGGAGAGAAGAATCCAATGATAAAAGCTCGGTTTTGTGATTGTCAGCCGCCCTAGCTCAGTTGGTAGAGCGCAAGGCTCTTAACCTTGTGGTCGTGGGTTCGAGCCCCACGGGCGGCGCTTTTTCTCTTGTGTTCGCGATTTTCCCGCTTTCTTCGTTGACTATTGTGTGATAATTGTGTGTAACGCGGATATGAACACCAACCACCTCTTCTTTCGTAACACTGGCGAAACTCTTTCGCTCGTCAGACCTCAAACACCACCAGCTTACCCTTAGCATAAAGCCACCCGCCTAGCTTGAGCAGCACAGTGAGGGCGGGCACGGGCGCGGACCCAAACTCGAGGGCGGAGGAGAGCTGCGGGAGGATCTTGTTGAGCAGGATGGGTGGTGGTGGTGGTGGTGGTGGTGGTGGTGGTGGTGGTGGTGGTGGTGGTGGTGGTGGTGGTGGTGGTGGTGGTGGTGGTGGTGGTGGTGGTGGTGCATGCACACACAGAAAACATGTACCACCTACCTGCACCGCATCAACACACGCCCACCTTAGCGTTGAAATCTTCCTGATTGAGCCACCCTCCAAGCTTGAGTAAGACAGTCAGTGCAGGCGCAGGTGCAGACCCAAATTCCAGAGCGGAGGCGAGCTGGGGCAGGATCTTGTTGAGCAGGATGGGGCGCGAGAGCTGGTCACAGAGAGCTGGTGATGGTGCTGGTGCATGCACACACCGAAAACATCTAACCTACTGGCACCGCACCGAACACCCACCCACCTTGGCGTTGAACTCGTCTTGGTTAAGCCATCCCCCCAGCTTGAGCAACACAGTCAGTGCAGGAGCAGGAGCAGACCCAAATTCCAGAGCGGAGGCGAGCTGGGGCAGGATCTTGTTGAGCAGGATGGGGCGCGATAGCTGGTCACAGAGGGCGGGCAGGCGGCGGAAGAATCCGTCCTTCTCCACGCTGTCCTTGAGGCTCAGCACCTCCATGAACTGTACCGTCTCCACCAGCTTGTTCTGAAAGAACTCTGAGGAAGCAGGGGAAAATACATACAGAACACAGAGGGGAGTGGATGGAACGTGGGATAGGGAAGAGGAAAGAAGCCGTCCTTCTCCACGCTGTCCTTGAGGCTCAGCACCTCCATGAACTGCACTGTCTCCACCAGCTTGTTCTGGAAAAACTCTGGGGAAGCAGGAGGGAGGAATACATAAGGACAGGGAGCAGCAATGGAATGTGTGAGGTGGGGTGGGGAGTTGCTTGGGGCTCAGCACCTCCATGAACTGCACCCGTCACCACCAGCTTGTCCTGAAAGAACTCTGTGAGGCGCGAGGATTGAAACACAAGGGAGCGAGAGGGAGGGGGGTGGGAGGGAGAGAGGGAGGCGCATTGCACTGAGGCTTGGCAATGAGGCTTGAGGCTTAAGGCTGAGGACCTCCATGAACTGCACCGTCTCCACCAGCTTGTTCTGAAAGAGCTCTGGAATGTGTGGGGCAGCAGGGATAGACGGGAAGGGATGGGTGGGATAGAGAGTGGTACGAGGAGACAGGTGCGCCGTGCTCGAACGTTGACCTAATCCATTCATGAATTCTTGCACTCTGGCTAGATCCAACTGTAAAAATTGCACACTCACCACTGTTGTCAATGAGCTTGGCGGGGTTGAGTCGCCTGGCAGGGGCAGAGCTGAGCAGACGCTGGTAGTCTGGGAGAAGGGTCTGTGCGTGGAGAAGGAGGGGGGAGGGTGGGGAAAGGGGAGGTTGAAGCAAGGGTGAAGAAAGGGGAAATGGCTTCAAGACCTTCACGGAGTCACGTCTGAGTGCGTGGATGGTGGGGGGTTGGTGAGGGGGTTGGTGGGGGGGTTCGAGGCAAGGAAGGCTGGTGGTTGAGAAGGGGCCAGGGTAAGAGAGGCAAGCAAGCTAAACAAATTGGTAATGCATGTGCGTCACCTTGGGAATGCAAGCTGTGTTTCGAAGCTCTTCTGTGCGTGTCAGCTGGTGCCCCGAGAACACCTCCTGAATCAAGCAGCCTGCAAGGTTTGGGGAGAAAGGTAGCAGAGGAAACGGAAGAAGTGTAAGACATAATAACAGGGGAAAAGACTGGGAAGAACAAAAGCGGACACAGAAGAAGGGCAGGTGGAAAGGAGAAGGGGGAGGGGAGACGATTTCAGCCACTGTTAGCTACTGAGCGGTGGCAGATAGGCTTTGTGTGATAAATACCAGCTGTGGTAGCACATATCATATCACTCACCAAGGCCCCAGGAGTCTATGGCGTAGGGAGGGCCCTTCCTGATGGCCGGCCAGTCGCTCTTGGCTAGTAAGGAAGCAGTGGCAGATAGCCCGATTGTGGAAAACAAACAGCTGGGAAAACACAGGTCACTCACCAAGGCCCCAGGAGTCGATGGCGTAGGGAGGGCCCTTCCTGATGGCCGCCCAGTCGCTCTTGGCGAGCTCCATTGACTTGTACTGCGCACCCACCATCCACTCGTATGGCTGATGTGCGTACATGCATACATGTGTGGCATGGTGGATGGATGTTGCGGGTGATGCACAGAGACATGGTAATGCATGGCATGCTCATGCACATGCACATGGTAACACACACGCACATGCGCACATGCACATGGTAACACACTCGCACATGCATATGCCAACACACGTGCCAGGGAGAACGGGAAGGAGGACGAGGGGAAGTGGAAAAAGTCAGGAAAAGCGAGAGCATGAATAAGAGAAGGAAAAAAAGAGCAAGAACAAGACTGTATGCAAGCACGACCAATGGCCCAATGGCATGAATCACTTCGGACTTCCCTCAGCAGTTGCCACTCTCACCAGCATGGGCCCCTCAGGCGCGTCTGCCTTGCCCCCATCGAACTCAGACAGCACATCGAAGCCGTGCAGCTTCCAGTCCAGCGCACCGGTGGTTACCACCGACGCCATGCACACGTTGCCATGCACCTGCAGGATTGGAGGGTAGGTGGTGACACCAAGGAGGGGAGTGAAAACATGCACCTGCCTAGTGCACTGGTGGTTACCACCGACGCCATGCACACGTTGCCATGCACCTGCAGGATTGAGGGATGCATAGAGATGGCATCGGGGAGGAGAGGGGCAGCAGAAACGTATTTGGGTGAAAAAGCAAACGCGTGGCAAGACGTCCCAACTTGATAAGGAAAGCACATTGCCATTCTCACATTGTTCTGCACAACTTGCTTGCATGGCAGGGAGAGGATGGGTGAGGGGGAGGGGATGGAATGAGCATGGGTGATTGTAAGGGGGGCATGAGCACATCATGGGGCGAAGGGGCATTTCATGTATGTCTGTCTGACCACCCACCAGCTTGCAGTCATTGTTGAGAAAGCTGACAGCCTTGGCCACTTGCAGCAATCCCCACGCGTAGTACTCATCCCTGCACACCAGCACAGCAGTACCACGCACACAGCACAGCTCAGACTGGCGTGTGATCAGCGCGCACTCACAGAACACACAGCAACGCCATACCTACCCTCTGCACCCGCTCCGCATACTGACCTCTGCCTTTCCTGCCCTCTTCCTCTCCCATTCCGTCCCCCCACTCCCTTTTCCCCGCAGCCCTCTCACCACTGCGGTCCCTTGAGCTTGGGCTCTTTAAGCCGGAGGTCCAGTGGCATGACAGGCTCTGTGATGATGTATATGGTGGGCTTCTGCACAAAGCCCTCCGATTCCCCCTGTAACCTCATCCCGTCCACCCCATGCCTCCCATCCCCCAACCCCATCCCTCCCCCTCAAACACATCTCCCTTACCTCTGCGGCCCCTTGAGTTTGAGCTCTTTGAGTCGGAGGTCCAGTGGCATGACGGGCTCGGTGATGATGTAGATGGTCGGCTTCTGCACGCCGCCCTCCTCCTTCTCCACCTCCAGGCTGTTCAGGAACGACAACACGTTCGGATGCCGCAGCTGGCAAGGTGAGGGTGTGGAGGAAAGGTGCGGATGGGGGAAGGGGGAGCGGAAGGGGAAGGACATAGTAATGAGGGTTCGGAAACGCTCCACCTCCAGGCTGTTCAGAAACGACCACACGTTCGGGTGCCGCAGCTGGCAACGAGAAAATTCGAAGGAAAGGTGCGGAAATGAGGGAAGCGGGGGGCGTGGGGAGGAAGGGAGGGTTTTTGCACGCGGGGGAAACGACAGGAGAGCATCTGGCTGCTGGTTCATAAGCGTAGAATTGCAACAACTGTAGATACATGAGCGTTGATATCTCAGATTCACGAGCCTTTTGATATCGCTGAACGCACCATTCTGAGTCGCTTGACGCAGTTTCGGGCAGGAGGAAGCCTGGCGTCTTGAGGATTCGAACCCGTTATGGAGAAAATCGATACCGCGCTGCCGTCCTCCTGATATTACACGCAGAGCACACGGATTCACGTACACGAACAATGAACAGTCATACACAAACGTGTCACCTTATACGACATGGTATAAGGTGGCGTGCACAACGTGAGAGGGAGGACATCGATATAGGATCAGCATTTGATACGATCTTCTCCTTAGTATACACAGCTCCCACAGCCCTTCTCAAATTCTCACGCGCCTCACGAAATCACCACGATCAGCCACTGGTATTGTATCCAGCGACCGCTAGGCCAGCTCAGGAGTTCGCACCTGGCGGGCGCTTGTGAAAATTAGACAATCAGACTTCTCAGGCCACTCAAGAACGACCCCAAGACAATCAGCGACAGCTAAAGCATCAGGTCCTCGCACCTTGCAGGTGCCTTTTTGATGAGTCCAGGGGCCCCATGCCGACGGATACGCTTCGCCGATGTTATACGGAAACTCCTTCGCCCCTCCACCAGTCCCGAGGACCGATCGCAGGAACTGCATGGCCGCTGGCCTGACTATCGATGGCTAAGTGAGGGTGATAACTGAAAGAGAATCACGAATGGCAATAACGAGTAAGAAAACTTCGAACTTTCTCTTACGTAGTCGCTATCGGAACTGCGACAGCCGAGGTCCAAGTAGACTAAACGTTATGGATTTTTTTAGCCGTCTAAACGAAAATATTTCCAATGATTTTCGGGTAGGCTTCCGGCGAGCAGTTGGTGAAGTTAAGCGCGAAATCTGGAGCGTGAGTGCGGTCTTCGTAACGCAGTTTCAGTTAAAACCCAGGGTCCACAGGTTTCAAAGGTAGGAAGGTTGGTTGGACTTAGTGACAAAACCAAAGGTAGGAAGCTTGGTTGGACTTTGTGACCCAACCAAAGGTAGGAAGGATGAGGCAACTTCGGGATACTTGAGACTCCGGTTTTAAAGGGAAGAATGGCGTTGTGATTGGCCGGAATGCGTGCTGTGTATGTTAAAACGGTGGGACGACGCGACTACAGCATCGACTGATGATGTCTGCGAAATGGAGTCAGAAATGCGAGTAGTTCATAATAAACTGACCACTTTTTGTGGTACACTGTAGCAATCTATGTCGGTGTTGTGAGCACGCAGCACCGCAGCAGCCGCACGCGGGACAGAACCAACACTGCTCCTTGGAATCGCCACTAACACAAAAGTCTGCTTTGCTTACGACTCAACGAAGCCGCACATCAACGAAGTAGCGCAGTTAGAATCTAATAAGCTGCGAACACGAAGCACGAAAGACGCTGTAATGGGAGGACTGCAGGGACGTTGAACAGATTCGGGAAACTCCAGCCTGCACAACTTCGGACTAGCAACAGAACAATGGCAAGCAGTAATCGGAACATTGCGGAGTGCTGCTGGAGGGAGGTGAGGAAAGGAGACCCGAGGGGGTGCGGGGGAACGTGAGTGAGCGCATGATCAGGGAAGAGGCGGAGGCAACCTTGAAGTTGTGGCAGCAAATTTGGCGGGAAATCTTGGGAGTGTCGCGCAAGTTTCCAGCCCACGACCTACCAACGGACTTGTCAGTTGCCGTTGGGCCAAGCGGACGAAACCGACAGGGGTACACTCACGATCCATACCACCGTAGCACCATGATATGTACACTAGATTATGTAAAGGCCAGCAACACAATTTCCAGTTACATAAATCTATTACGTAACGAACGAACTAAGCCTTGCTTCTGCATCAGCAATTTCTTCCCTGTGCTTTTCCAATTCCTGCGCACAGAGGTTTGCCAACTGATCAGCGACCGGAGGAATGCCCGGGTTACGCGCCTCATTATAAAGATGTGCGTTCCGTTGAATCAGCTTCATGTCGCTCCAAAAGACATCCCGCGACATGTACACTCCTTGCCGGTTTTTCTTGGACATGGTCGAAAGATCCATGGGATGCTTGATAACTGTATGGTAGTCCGGAGCTTCCTTCTTTGTGACAGGCTTTTGGAAAATGTAGGAAATATCCGCATGGAGCCGCAGAAAGGCAAGCACATTATCGAAGATGTTCCGAAGGGAATCTTTGGCCTGCAAGCAAACAGAGATGATCAAAAAGCGAGTCAGCAAGACCACTAACAAAGAGCAGAGCAGCACACAATAAACAAACAAAGTCACTCATCGTCATATCCTATCTGCAAAAGAAGCAAAAATAGTGAAACTGGTTTCAGCTAGGCCTCTCTGGAACACTCACCAGAACACCCCCTTCAGGCAGCTTCACGCGCTTCAGAGCCGGCCCTCCTCCTCTCCCCCCCTCGCTGCGCCCACCACCACCGTCCCAAGCACCAGGAGTAGCACTGCGCTTCGCTCCCTCTCCCGCCACCCCCTTTGAGCGAGGCCCCTTAAGAGCTTGAGAACTGCGCCGTTTCCCTCCATGCGCCCCGCCGTGTCCCCTCTCCTCCTCCTGCCAGTCCCTGTCCCTCTCTTCTCTCACCTCTCTCTCCTCTCTGCCCTTCCCTCTTGGCTCTTCAATACCTACAGAACGAGACCTTTCCCTTTCCTCCCTCCTCTCCCTCTCCTCCCTCCTCTCCTTCTCCTTCCTCTCTTTCTCTCGCCTCCGCTCCCTCTCCTCCTTCCCCTCCCTCTCTTCTCTCCCCTCCCTCGTCTCTTTCCGGTCCCTATCTTCCCTTCTCCTCCAATCATCTCTCTCCCCGTGTGAATCTTCTTTTCTCCTCTTCTCCTCGCCCTTGTCCTTCTCGCGTCTCCACTCACGATCATGCTTCCTCTCCTGCTCCTTATCCTCCCATCCATCCCTATCCACCTCATTCCCCCCTCTCCGCCCCTTAATTTCCCTCTCCCGTTCCCTTGCTCGTTCCCCTCCCTTATCCCTCTCAGTATCCTTCCTCTCAAGCTTAACCTTCAGAGTCCTTCCTTCTCCTTTCTCCTTCCCTGTTTCCCTATCCCTCTCTCGTTCCCTTACTCCTTCCCAGTCCCTCTCCTTGTGCCTCACTCTCTCCCTATCCTTGTCTTCATACTGCCTGCTCTCTTTTACCTTATCCTTCCTCCTCTCCCTTTCCTCCCCTTTCCTCTCCTGCACCTTACCCTCTCCTTCCTCACTCCTCCCCCTTTCCCAACCCTCTTTCCCAACCCACCCTTCACCATGCCTGTCCTTTCCAGCAGCTTTACCAAGCCTGTCTACCGAGCCTGGTGATGCCGAGCCTCCTCGCTCTCTCTCCGAAGCAGCAAGCCTCTTGGCAGCAGGGTGAGGTTCGGCATAACTGCCAATCACTTCAGCACCCACCCTCAGACCTTCACTCGCCTGCCCCTTCTCTCTTCTCCCCTCCTTTTTCTTCTCCTTCTCCCTCTCATGCTCCGCTCCCCAGTCCCTGCTCTTCTCGCCCTTCCTCTCACTTCCCTGTTTTCTCTCCCAATCTTCATTCCTCACTCTCTCCTTCGCCTCTTCCATCTCCCCTTCCTCTTCGAAAGGATCTAAACCACCCCTTGCTGCCTTCTTGAATCGCTGCCGCATCTCAGCACCTCTCCTGCCCTGCTTCTCTTCCTCTGCCTCCTCCTGCTGCTGCACCTGATGCACCCTCTCCTCCTGCTCATTCGCAGTCCTCTCCCCACCACCGCTTCTCTCGCCTCTTCTCTGCTTCTTCGGCTTATGAAACCCCTCCTCCACGCTCTCCTCCTGCCACTCCCTTTCCCCATCCCCCTCGTTCCTCCTACTCTTCTGAAACTCCCCCCTTTCCATCCCAGCGCTCCTCTCCTCCTTGCCCTGTGTTCTGCTCTTCCCCCCACCCTCCTCATCCCCCCCGGCTCCTACTGTCCCTCCCTCCTCTTGCCCACCGTCCGCCTCCTGCCTCTCCACCCCTCTGTTCGCCCCACTCCTCTCTCTCCTCTTCCTCTTCCTCTTCTTCTCCTCCTTCCTCCCCCATCCCTCCAGATGTCCCTCCTGCTCCTCTCCCTCACCACCTACCCCAACCTCCCCTTCCTCATCTCCTCCCTTATCCCCCTCTCCTTGCACCCCCTCACCCTCAACCTCACCATGCATCTCCCCCAAATCCTCCCCACCCTTTCTCCCCTTTACTCTCTGCAAATCCTCCCTATCCCTCACATCTCCCCCATCCCCCACGTTCCCTCGCGCCTCTGAACCTCCTTTGCCTACCAGTTTGATCTTCCCACAAGACAACTTCACCTTCAGAGAAACTTTCTTCCCCATTCCCCTCTTCCTCCCCTTCTCACTCCCTCCCTTCTCACTCCCCTCCCTCTCTCCCACACCTCCTCCCGTGATCCTCGCTATTGTGTTGTCTGCAAGCTGAAGCTGCATGGAAACTTCGTGAGCAGAGGGAGACTCCCCTCCTGGAGAATCTCGTCTTGCCTTGGAGCGGGGGCGGTGGGGGGATGTTACACCATCAGCTCTCCCATCCCCACTGCCATCACCATGAGCAGCACCCATAGCATGACCATAACCATCATCATCACCATCCCCCTCACCACCATCACCATCATCACCAGCAGCATCATAATCATCAACATCAACAGCATCATCTGGATTGCCAGCACCATCAGCAGCATCAGCAGCAGCATCAATACCAGCATAGGCAGCACCAGCAGCATCAGCGTCAGCACCGCCGGCAATGGCTTCTACATCAGCAGGAACTTCATCATCCAAAGCAGACTGGGAGCTTTTCTTCCCCTTCTTCTTCTCCTCCTTCTCCTTCTTCCCCTTCTTCCCCTTCTTCTCCTTCCGCTCCTTTTTCTCCTTACCTTTCTTACCAACACCAGCACCGTCACCACCACCAGTACCAGCAGCAGCAGCAGCAGCACCATAACTGGCTTGGCTAGGCTGTGCGGCTGTCGGATCAAAATCAAATCCATCCTCCCCATCCCCAGCAGCAGCAGCAGCAGCACCACCATCACCATCACCTGCACCCTCACCATCAGCACCGGCACCAGCAGAACCACCCTTCCCACCACCGCCTCCCACCGCACTCCACCCACCAGCACCACTCGCCCCTCCACCACCCGACCCCTCAGCTCCTCCTTTTCCCCCAGCCTTCCCCAGCAGCATCTTCGCCTTATTAATCTTGATCTTCGTTCCCTTCCTCTCCAGCAACCCCTCTGCCAGCGCCCCATCCCTGTGAATCTGATTCCCCTCCTCATCCTCCATATAGAGGGGACACTTAGCGCGGTTAGTGCGCATGTGACCCTCCTGCCCGCACGCCCCACACACCACCGACGCCCTCTGTCCCTTCTTGGGCCCACTGCCGTCCTTCTTCCCAGCAGCTTCCTTCTTGGTGGGAGTGGGGGTTCCCTTGATAGGGGTTCCCTTGGACGGGGTTCCTTTAACGGGTGTATCTGCCTTGGGCCCTGCCTGTCCTCCCCTCTTCCGCTTCTTCCCTGCCCCCTCGCCCCCACCCCCCTGCACAGTAACAACAGAGAGAAAATTGGAACGCTTTAGACTCCAAGACTCCATCCAGACGGGACCAAACATGAGCAACGAGTGAACAGTAACAGTGCACCAAGCATCGATTCGATCACACAGGAGAGTATAGTGGGGGCGGGGAGTTGGAAGGAAAGAAAGGTAGGAGGGACAGGAAATGGGGGATAAAGAAGCGGGGGGGTGGGGCGAGGGAAAGAGGGAGGAGCAGTAAGCAAGCAACAGGAGCTTACCTTCTCTGAGGCAGCCTGTTTCGAAGGCGTGGCCGGTGTCTGCGAGGGAGCACCTGCCTGGTCCTTTTCTTCTCCCTGCTGCTGCTGCTCTGCCTCCTGCCCCTCCTGCTGCTCCGCCTGCTGCTCTGTCCGCTGCCCTACCTGACCGCCTGCTGCCCCTCTCTGTGCTGCTAAGGCTGACCGTTTTGCCAACTCTGCATCAATCTGGGAGTGTGGGGGAGGGAGGTGGGGAGGGGGAGTGAATATGAGGGTGGAGAGGGAAGGGGGAGCGGGAGTGAGGAAAGAGGTGATATCTGACTCGACTCTAAAACTGTTTGTGCAGGTTGCCCTCCCTGTCCCCCACACGCCTAATCGGCATCAAGTTCAGGCACTGTGTGACCATACAATGGCATGGCCTGCCATGTTTTGAGGCGCCTCAAAACTGATCGGCATCACGTTCAGGCACTGCGTGACTTAGGCAGACCCTACAACGGCCTGCCATGCACCGTACACACTCTTACCTTTTACACACTCTTTCACCCGCACCGTATCGTCCCACCAACCATGGTGAAGGTGAACTGCTGGTGATACACAGACATGCTCACTACACGATGGTTGGTGATGCATAACCTGCAGAGGCTCCGCGCTGATGACCTCTTTGACCACACCATGCCATCGAACTACCTGTGATGAGCAGATGGGCATACACTATAGTGTACAAAGAGTACACTACAACATCCATCCATATACCAGCTCGGATCCGTGATGATGACCTCTTTGATCACCACCATGCCGTCGGGCAGCCTGTGGTGAGGTGAGCTGACTTAAACACAGACATGTGCATAGGTAGGAACACCACAGCATCCACATACCAGCTCTGGATCCGTGATGATGACCTCCTTGACCACAAATGTGCCGTCGGGCAGCCGCGATTTGATCTTCTTCTTCAGCCGCCGCACTACCACGCGCTTCTTCCCCCCCTCTGCACCCACGCCTGCCCCTCCGCCCCCCTCCCCGCCTCCTGCTGTCCCTCCTGCTGCTGCTGCTGCTGCTGATGCTGGAGTGGCTTTCCCAGCCTCTTGGTCCTGAATGCACGGGAGGAGAGGGACCGGGGAGTGGAGGGAGAGTGGAGGGGAGGATAGGGGAGCAGTGGGGAGTATGCAAAGGATAGTGGAGAAGCGGGGAGGAGAGGGGAAGGACAGGAAGGGAGAGGGGAGGAGAGAGAGGAGGGGGGAGGAGAGAGAGAGGAGGAAGGGGAGTGGGACTGAATATGCGGACAATAAACGGTTTCATATGCAAGAAGGCAGAGAGGCAAGGAGGCAAGGAGGCAGAGATGCAAGTACAGCCCAAGGAAACCCAAGACAAGAGCTAAATACGCACCATCATTCCTCCTGCCTCGCCATGCTTGGCAGGTGCAGTGACGCTCTTGTCCCCCCCATCCTCCTTCTTCTCCTTCTCCCTCTCCTTCTCCTTGCTCTTCTCCTTCTCCTTCTTCTTATCCTTCTTCTTCTTGGTGCTCTCCTTGGGATCATCATCTGCACGCCACCATGCATGCATGCATCCATGCATCCATGCACACACACACGCACACGCACACGCACACGCACATCACACGCACATGCACACGCACACGCACACGCACACACACACACACGCACACGCACACACGCACACGCACACGCACATGCACATGCACATGCACACACGCACGCACACGCGCACGCGCAAATGCACACGCACATGCACATGCACACACGCACACGCACATGCACATGCACACGCACACACGCACGCACACGCGCACGCGCACATGCACACACGCACGCACACGCGCACGCGCACATGCACACGCACATGCACATGCACACACGCACACGCACATACACACAGGATGCATGCACATGCACACATATGTACACACAGACGACGCACACACATGTCAATCCACGCACGCACAGAGGCAGAGAAAGATCAATCTGAAAGAGCACAAAGCGCAGAGCCAAGCCGGGCCTCCAAAATCCTCTCCTCAAGCAACCCATGCTGCAGCGATCAAACCACTGGTCATCCGTTCTTGCGAATGATTCTTGAGACTTTAGAATCTTAAGCAATTCTCTACACTGAGCAACCCACTGTTGATCCAGAGCCAAGCCAGGGCATTCAAGATCCTGTCCTCAAGCAACCATCCACGGGCACCGTCCCTCACCCACAGCAACCACCCAACACCGCATAAAACCATTCCTGACCCATCTTCCAGCAGCATGAGCCTCAGCGCAGCAGCCTCCGCCTCATCATCCTTGAGCAAGGCGCGCGCGTGGACCAAGGCGCGGGCGCGGACCAAGGCGCGGGCGCGCGGACCAAGGCGCGCGGGCGCGCGGACCAAGGCGCGCGGGCGCGCGGACCAAGGCGCGCGCAAGCGCGGACCAAGGCGCGCGCGCGCGCGGACCAAGGCGCGCGCGCGCGCGGACCAAGGCGCGCGCGCGGACCAAGGCGCGCGCGGAGACCAAGGCGCGCGTCCGCGCGCGCGGACCAAGGCGCGAGCGCGGACCAGGGCGCGCGCGCGGACCAGGGCGCGCGCGCGGACCAGGGCGCGCGCGCGGACCAGGGCGCGCGCGCGGACCAGGGCGCGCGCGCGGACCAGGGCGCGCGCGCGGACCAGGGCGCGCGCGCGGACCTGGGCGCGCGCGCGGACCTGGGCGCGCGCGCGGACCTGGGCGCGCGCGCGGACCGAGGCGCGCGCGCGGACCGAGGCGCGCGCGCGGACCGAGGCGCGCGCGCGGACCCAGGCGCGCGCGCGGACCCAGGCGCCCGCGCGCGGACCCAGGCGCGCGCGCGCGGACCAAGGCGCGCGCAGCGCGGACCAAGGCGCGCGCGCGCGGACCAAGGCGCGCGCGCGCGGACCAAGGCGCGCGCGCGCGGACCAAGGCGCGCGCGCGCGGACCAAGGCGCGCGCGCGGACCAAGGCGCGAGCGCGGACCAAGGCGCGCGCCGCGGACCAAGGCGCGCGCGCGGACCAAGGCGCGCGCACGGACCAAGGCGCGCGCGCGGGACCAAGGCGCGCGCGCGGACCACGTCGCGCGCGCGGACCACGGCGCTCGCGCGGACCACGGCGCGCGCGCGGACCACGGCGCGCGCGCGGACCACGGGGCGCGCGCGGACCACGGCGCGCGCGCGGACCACGGCGCGCGCGCGGACCAAGGCGCGCGCGCGGACCAAGGCGCGCGCGCGGACCAAGGCGCGCGCGCGGACCAAGGCGCGCGCGCGGACCACGGCGAGCGCGCGAGCCACGGCACGCGCGTGGACCAAGGCGCGCGCGTGGACCAAGGCGCGCGCGTGGACCAAGGCGCGCGCGCGGACCAAGGCGCGCGCGCGGACCAAGGCGCGCGCGCGGACCAAGGCGCGCGCGTGGACCAAGGTGCGCGCGTGGATCAAGGCGCGCGCGTGGACCAAGGCGAGCGCGCGGACCAAGTCGCGCGCGTGTACCAAGTCCCGCGCGTGGACCAAGGCGCGCGCGAGGACCAAGACCCGCGCGTGGACCAAGGCGCGCGCGTGGACCAAGGCGCGCGCGGACCAAGGAGCGCGCGCGGACCAAGGAGCGCGCGCGGACCAAGGCGCGCACGCGGACCAAGGCGCGCGCGCGGACCAAGGCGCGCGCGCGGACCACGGCGCGCGCGCGAGCCAGGGCGCACGCGCGAGCCACAGCGCGCGCGAGCCACGGCAAGCGAGCGAGCCAAGGCGCGCGCGCGGGCCAAGGCGCGCGCGCGGGCCAAGGCGCGCGCGCGGACCAGGGCGCGCGCGCGGACCAGGGCGCGCGCGCGGACCAGGGCGCGCGCGCGGACCAGGGCGCGCGCGCGGACCAGGGCGCGCGCGCGGACCAGGGCGCGCGCGCGGACCAGGGCGCGCGCGCGGACCAGGGCGCGCGCGCGGACCAGGGCGCGCGCGCGGACCAAGGCGCGCGCGCGGACCAAGGCGCGCGCGCGGACCACAGCGCGCGCGCGGACCACGGCGCGCGCGCGGACCATGGCGAGCGCGCGAGCCACGGCGCGCGCGTGGACCAAGGCGCGCGCGTGGACCAAGGCGCGAGCTCGGACCAAGGAGCGCGCGCGGACCAAGGCGCGCGCGCGGACCAAGGCGCGCGCGCGGACCAAGGCGCGCGCGTGGACCAAGGCGCGCGCGTGGACCAAGGCGCGCCCGTGGACCAAGGCGCGCGCGCGGACCAAGTCCCGCGCGTGGACCAAGGCGCGCGCGCGGACCAAGGCGCGCGCGCGGACCAAGGCGCGCGCGTGGACCAAGGCGCGCGCGTGGACCAAGGCGCGCGCGGACCAAGGCGCGCGCGGACCAAGGCGCGCGCGGACCAAGGCGCGCGCGCGGACCAAGGCGTGCGCGCGGAACAAGGCGCGCGCGCGGACCAAGGCGCGCGCGCGGACCAAGGCGCGCGCGTGGACCAAGGCGCGCGCGGACCCAGGCGCGCGCGCGGACCGAGGCGCGCGCGTGGACCGAGGCGCGCGCGTGGACCCAGGCGCGAGCGGACCAAGGCGCGCGCGCGGACCAAGGCGCGCGCGCGGACCAAGGCGCGCGCGCCGAACAAGGCGCGCGCGCGGACCAAGGCGCGCGCGCGGACCAAGGCGCGCGCGTGGACGAAGGCGCGCGCGGACCAAGGCGCGCGCGGACCAAGGCGCGCGCGCGGACCATGGCGCGCGCGCGGACCAAGGCGCGCGCGCGGACCAAGGCGCGCGCGCGGACCAAGGCGCGCGCGCGGACCAAGGCGCGCGCGCGGACCAAGGCGCGCGCGCGGACCAAGGCGCGCGCGCGGACCAAGGCGCGCGCGCGGACCAAGGCGCGCGCGCGGACCAAGGCGCGCGCGCGGACCAAGGCGCGCGCGCGGACCAAGGCGCGCGCCGGACCAAGGCGCGCGCGAGGACCAAGGCGCGCGCGAGGACCAAGTCGCGCGCGCGGACCAAGGCGCGCGCGCGGACCAAGGCGCGCGCGCGGACCAAGTCCCGCGCGCGGACCAAGTCGCGCGCGCGGACCAAGGCGCGCGCGCGGACCAAGGCGCGCGCGCGGACCAAGGCGCGCGCGCGGACCAAGGCGCGCGCGCGGACCACGGCGAGCGCGCGAGCCACGGCGCGCGCACGGCGCGCGCTCGGACCACAGCGCGCGCTCGGACCAAGGCGCGCGCGCGGACCAAGGCGCGCGCGCGGACCAAGGCGCGCGCGCGGACCAAGGCGCGCGCGCAGACCAAGGCGCGCGCGCGGACCAAGGCGCGCGCGCGGACCAAGGCGCGCGCGCGGAACCACGGCGAGCGCGCGAGCCACGGCGCGCGCGTGGACCAAGGCGCGCGCTCAGACCAAGGCGCGCGCGAGGACCAAGGCGCGCGCGCGGACCAAGGCGCGCGCGTGGACCAAGGTGCGTGCGTGGATCAAGGCGCGCTCGTGGACCAAGGCGAGCGCGCGGACCAAGTCGCGCGCGTGTACCAAGTCCCGCGCGTGGACCAAGGCGCGCGCGCGGACCAAGGCGCGCGCGTGGACCAAGGCGCGCGCGTGGACCAAGGCGCGCGAGGACCAAGGAGCGCGGGGACCAAGGCGCGCGCGCGGTACAAGGCGCGCGCGCGGAACAAGGCGCGCGCGCGGACCAAGGCGCGCGCGCGGACCAAGGCGCGCGCGCGGACCAAGGCGCGCGCGCGGACCAAGGCGCGCGCGCGGACCAAGGCGCGCGCGCGGACCAAGGCGCGCGCGCGGACCAAGGCGCGCGCGCGGACCACGGCGAGCGCGCGAGCCACGGCGCGCGCGTGGACCAAGGCGCGCGCTCAGACCAAGGCGCGCGCGAGGACCAAGGCGCGCGCGCGGACCAAGGCGCGCGCGTGGACCAAGGTGCGTGCGTGGATCAAGGCGCGCTCGTGGACCAAGGCGAGCGCGCGGACCAAGTCGCGCGCGTGTACCAAGTCCCGCGCGTGGGCCAAGGCGCGCGCGCGGACCAAGGCGCGCGCGTGGACCAAGGCGCGCGCGTGGACCAAGGCGCGCGAGGACCAAGGAGCGCGGGGACCAAGGCGCGCGCGCGGTACAAGGCGCGCGCGCGGAACAAGGCGCGCGCGCGGACCAAGGCGCGCGCGCGGACCAAGGCGCGCGCGCGGACCAAGGCGCGCGCGCGGACCAAGGCGCGCGCGCGGACCAAGGCGCGCGCGCGGACCAAGGCGCGCGCAGCGGACCAAGGCGCGCGCGCGGACCAAGGCGCGCGCGCGGACCAAGGCGCGCGCGCGGACCAAGGCGCGCGCGCGGACCAAGGCGCGCGCGCGGACCAAGTCCCGCGCGCGGAACAAGGCGCGCGCGCGGACCAAGGCGCGCGCGCGGACCAAGGCGCGCGCGCGGACCAAGGCGCGCGTGGACCAAGGCGCGCGCGGACCAAGGCGCGCTCGCGGACCAAGGCGCGCGCGCGGACCAAGGCGCGCGCGCGGACCAAGGCGCGCGCGCGGACCAAGGCGCGCGCGCGGACCAAGGCGCGCGCGCGGACCAAGGCGCGCGCGCGGACCAAGGCGCGCGCGCGGACCAAGGCGCGCGCGCGGACCACGGCGAGCGCGCGAGCCACGGCGCGCGCGTGGACCAAGGCGCGCGCTCAGACCAAGGCGCGCGCGAGGACCAAGGCGCGCGCGCGGACCAAGGCGCGCGCGTGGACCAAGGTGCGTGCGTGGATCAAGGCGCGCTCGTGGACCAAGGCGAGCGCGCGGACCAAGTCGCGCGCGTGTACCAAGTCCCGCGCGTGGACCAAGGCGCGCGCGCGGACCAAGGCGCGCGCGTGGACCAAGGCGCGCGCGTGGACCAAGGCGCGCGAGGACCAAGGAGCGCGGGGACCAAGGCGCGCGCGGCGGTACAAGGCGCGCGCGCGGAACAAGGCGCGCGCGCGGACCAAGGCGCGCGCGCGGACCAAGGCGCGCCGCGCGGACCAAGGCGCGCGCGCGGACCAAGGCGCGCGCGCGGACCAAGGCGCGCGCGCGGACCAAGGCGCGCGCGCGGACCAAGGCGCGCGCGCGGACCAAGGCGCGCGCGCGGACCAAGGCGCGCGCGCGGACCAAGGCGCGCGCGCGGACCAAGGCGCGCGCGCGGACCAAGTCGCGCGCGCGGACCAAGGCGCGCGCGCGGACCAAGGCGCGCGCGCGGACCAAGGCGCGCGCGCGGACCAAGGCGCGCGCGCGGACCAAGGCGCGCGCGGACCAAGGCGCGCGCGCGGACCAAGGCGCGCGCGCGGACCAAGGCGCGCGCGCGGACCAAGGCGCGCGCGCGGACCAAGGCGCGCGCGCGGACCAAGGCGCGCGCGCGGACCAAGGCGCGCGCGCGGACCAAGGCGCGCGCGCGGACCAAGGCGCGCGCGCGGACCAAGGCGCGCGCGCGGACCAAGGCGCGCGCGCGGACCAAGGCGCGCGCGCGGACCAAGGCGCGCGCGCGGACCAAGGCGCGCGCGCGGACCAAGGCGCGCGCGCGGACCAAGGCGCGCGCGCGGACCAAGGCGCGCGCGCGGACCAAGGCGCGCGCGGACCAAGGCGCGCGCGCGGACCAAGGCGCGCGCGCGGACCAAGGCGCGCGCGCGGACCAAGGCGCGCGCGCGGACCAAGGCGCGCGCGCGGACCAAGGCGCGCGCGCGGACCACGGCGCGCGCGCGGACCAAGGCGCGCGCGTGGACCAAGTCGCGCGCGTGGACCAAGGCGCGCGCGCGGACCAAGGCGCGCGAGCGGACCAAGTCGCGCGCGCGGACCAAGGCGCGCGCCTGGACCAAGTCGCCACCACTTAGCGCCCCACTTAGCGCCCCCACTTAGCGCCCCCACTTAGCGCCCCCAACCTTAGAGCAGCATGCGCCTGGTCACCGCATACAACCATTCCCAACCCACCTTCCAGCAGCATGCGCCTGAGGGCAGCAGCCTCCGCCTCCTCATCCTCAAGCTCCTCCTCTCGCTGCACCTCCCAAGCCCTCCTCCTCCTCATCCCCCCCACGCCCCCTCCCCTTGCCCCACCCCCTTCTCTCTCCTCCTCCCCGCCCTCCTCAGCCTCCAGCAAATTCTCCAAGTCCCCCGCAAACGAGTCTAAGTCCCCCAACAGCTCCTCCTCTTCCTCCTCCTCCCCTTCCGCCAGAGCAGACAAGCTCCTGACCTGCTTCTCCCACACCTCCTGGCACTTGCTCCGCGTCTGCAGCTGCAGCTGCGAAAACGACATGCGCTGCCCCCTTGCAAACTTATTCAGCGCAGCAACGGAATCACCACTCTTTCCTGCAGCAGCGGCCGCTTGCTCCGAAGACAGCTTGCGAACCAGAGCTATTCTGTGCCATCGCCCCATCTTCTGAATCTGCTCATCTGCCACCCCTAGCTTCAACAGCACCTCCCGAGCCGCCTCCATCCCGAGCCTGCGCAGGTCCGCGTCCGTGCCTGTCACCGCCGCCCCGCCCCGAGCCTGCGCCGCCCGTTTTTCCACCACCTTGATCTTCTCCGCCCCTGGCTGCTTGTGCTGAATCTTGAGAAAGGAAAACGCCAGGCCACGCCCAGAGGGATCCCCTGCTCCACTTATCTCCAGCTTCTCTAACCCGCCTTTCCCGTGGGTCATACTCGATAAATAGTTGTGAGAAAGGTTCCAGGGAGTGAGCAGTAATTCCCTCTCTATAAGCAGACTCGCTGCCATCTTAATCGGGTTGTCCGGGAGGAGCTGGGCGATGGCGGTGCTGAGAGGCGGCGACGCGTTGGTGAGGTGGCGGATTCCTATTCGCCGAAGGTGGTGCAGACCTGCCAGCATGCTTTCATGGCAGCACACCAAGTCGGGGGTTACCATTCTCCGTAGCTCCTCCTCGGAAGGAACCCGGAAGTTTCTCCGCATAACCCACCACATTTCTCCGCCCTCCAGCCTCTGCAGCTCTGCACACGTTTTAAGCCGCTTCTTTATAAGCCCCTCGGTGAGCGTGGGAAACTGCGCAGCAATATCATCCGCCCTTACTTTAGGCGCGTTCACCACCGCCCGCCGCCCCCCTTTCTTCCCACCCTTCCCCTGCGCCCCTCCCTTCCCACCGCCGCTCCCGCTCCCGCCGCCGTCCTTATCCTTGTCATAATCCCGAAACGTCCGACAGACTCCAACCATAAGGCGGTTGCTACTATGGAGTACGGCAGCTTTAGAGATCGGATTCATAACTTCCAAATGCGGCTCTTGCTGCCCCACCACCTGCATCCCATCTATCCTCCTTATAGACAGCTTCCCTTTCGGCGACCGTACGAGCAGATAGTCCGTGTGCGGCACATGCTGCCGAAACACCGGGGCTCGGAACAGGTTCGTCTCGAGGCTGGACTGGCTCGTGCCGGGCCTGACGTCGCCCAGGAACGGGGACTCCTCGTCCGGTTCGAGCGGCATCACCGAGCCGGAGAAAGGGACGTCCCGGATCGCAGCTGCGCCGGAATCGACGGACGAGATCTTGCGGTAGTAGGTGGCGAGCCGGGCGCCCATGCCCACGTTGCTGAGGAGCAAAGGGCGCTCCTCACAGTACCTGGGAGAGGAGACGAAGGGGGAAGAAGATGGGGAAAGGAAGAAGAGGGTGGGGGAAGGAAGAGAGGGGGTGGGGAGTTTGGGGTAGGGGTTGAAGAAAGTAGCTGAAGGGAAAAGAAGGCCGGGTGAAAAAGTGCTTGAACCAGTGCTTGACCGACAGGTCTGCCTTCTTCGCGGCAAATACTCGGGTTCACTCACACCTCACCTCACCTCCCAATCACCCCAGATCCAAACCCCCCTAACCCCCCCCTGCTCCTCCCCCACTCACTCCATGAGCACAACGTGACCATCCTTCACCGACAGATCCGCCTTCTTCCGGAAGGCCCCGGGGGGGCGCTTGGGCTTGCTGTCGCCTGGGAGCTTCAGGTGCGCTCGCCCCCAGGGGTGCAGGCGCGGGCGCACCACGTGGATGATGGCGCTGCCCCTCACTCCCTGCTCTCCCAGCGGCTTGTCTGCCGTCACTTCATGCCCGTTGGAGAAAAAACGCACTGCCTCGCTCTCCTTCATGTCTGCCGGCGAGGGGGAATGGGGAAAAGGAAGAGAGGCGAAATGAGGGGCGGGAAAGCAGGGGTGGAGGCAAGGAAGGGGGTGTCTCTGTGTGCTCGGCTTGCCCGCTGCACGCTCGCCCCCAGGGGTGCAGGCGCGGGCGCACCACGTGGATGATGGCGCTGCCCCTCACGCCCTGCTCTCCCAGTGGCTTGTCTGCTGCCACTTCATGCCCGTTGGAGAAAAAACGCACTGCTTCGCTCTCCTTCATGTCTGCACAGAGGAACAAGGGGGGACACAGGAGCTTTAGATGCGCTCGCCCCCAGGGGTGCAGGCGCGGGCGCACCACGTGAATGATGGCGTTGCTCCGCACGCCCTGCTCGCCCAGCGGCCTGCCTGCTGTGACCTCGTGGTTGTTGGAGAAGAAGCGTACTGGCTCGCTCTCCTTCATGTCTGGGCATAAAAAGGAAGAGGAAACTATGGAGAGACATTGAAGGAGAAACAAGATGACTTTTGAGTTGACTCTAAAGTTGTTGGAGAAGCAGAGTACCGGCTCGCTCCCCTTCATGTCTGGGCGTACGGGGGAAAGCAGGAAAACAAGGAGAGGGGAAAGGACGGGCGAGAAGGAGGGGTGTGGGCAGGGAAGGGGCTGCCTCTGTGTGGTCGCCTTGCCCTGTCTTGGCAGCAAGGAGAGGGGAAACGACGCACCTCCCAGCTTCTTTGCTGTCTTAGCTCGCAGCACCCCCAGCATCTCCCCCGCCCCCACGTGCAGCTTGACTGCCTTGCTGCCCTCGCTCATACCTCCCACTTCCACGCACCTCCCAACTCCACATACCTCCTAGTTTCTTGGCGGTCTTAGCTCGCAAAGCACCCAGCATCTCCCCCGCGCCCACGTGCAGCTTCACAGCCTTGCTCCCCAGCGTCCTCACGATCACCCGCAGGCTGCCCTCCTGCCCCTCCACGCGCCCCTGCGCCCTTGCTGCTGCCTCGCTCTGGTGCGCAAACCACAGCGCCTGGGGCCGGTGGAAGCGCGATAGGTCCTTGCTGGAAAGGGGGGAGATGGGGCCAAAGAGACAGGGCGATGGGGAGGAAGGGGGGAACGGATGGGGAGGGGGTCAAAGAGGTTGGGAAAGAGGAAAGGGGGGAGAATTCAAGGGTTTTCAAGTTTCCCTCTCCTCACGATCACCCGCAGGCTGCCTCCTGCCCCTCCACCCGCCCCTGTGCCCTTGCCGCCGCCTCGCTCTGGTGCGCAAACCACAGCGCCTGTGGCCGGTGGAATCGTGATAGGTCCTTGCTGCAGTGTTGGGAACGGGAGGGGGGAAGGTTGGGTTTGGGGGGGGGGTTATTGGGAGGGGAGAGAGAAGGGGGGTTTGGAGGAGGTTGAGACATCCCAAGAACCGCCTCGCTCTGGTGCACAAATCACAGCGCCTGGGGGCAGTGGAAGTGCAACAGGTGGAGACGGGGAAAGGGATGGGGGAGGAGGATAGGAGGGAGAGAAGGAGGGGAGCACGGGGGGGAACAGGGGGAAACGTGTAAAGAACTGCCTCAATCCCGAGCGCAAACCACAGCGCCGGCAGGCGGTGGAAGCGCGATAGGTCCTTACTGGAGAGTTGGGGGAAGGGGGAGGAATGGGGAAGGATGGGGGGGGGGTGATGGGGGAAGAGAGGCGGGGGTTGGGTTACGAGGTATTTGCAACCACACAATCCCCCACTCACTTGCTCAGTCGCGGCTTCATCGTTTGCAGGCGAATAGCCGGCAGCGAGTGGTACACCTTCACACTCGTGCTCACACGCTTCTTCCCGTGCGCCTTCCCTCCACCCCCCGCCCCGCCCACCGCCCCCACGCCCGCCTTGCTGCTCTGGTACAGATGGTCCCGCGAGAAATCCACCGCCCACGCTGCTGCCTCTGCCAGGAACTCAGGAGGCAGCCACCCCGCTGCTGCTGCCGCTGCCGCTGCTGCCTCTGCCAGGAAGGAACTCACCTGCTGAGCCGTGGCTTCATTGTCTGCAGGCACACCACACCTACACACTCTTGCTTCAATCGATCACTTACTTGCTCAGCCGTGGCTTCATGGTCTGAAGCCGGATAGCTGGTAGAGAATGATACACCTTCACGCTCGTGCTCGCACGCTTCTTCCCATGCGCCTTCCCTCCACCCCTCGCCCCGCCCACCGCCCCCACGCCCGCCTTGCTGCTCTGGTACAGGTGGTCCCGCGAGAAATCCACTGCCCACGCTGCTGCCTCTGCCAGGAACTCAGGAGGCAGCCACCCCGCTGCTGCTGCCGCTGCCGCTGCTGCCTCTGCCAGGAAGGAACTCACCTGCTGAGCCGTGGCTTCATTGTCTGCAGGCACACCACACCTACACACTCTTGCTTCAATCGATCACTTACTTGCTCAGCCGTGGCTTCATGGTCTGAAGCCGGATAGCTGGTAGAGAATGGTACACCTTCACGCTCGTGCTCGCACGCTTCTTCCCGTGCGCCTTCCCTCCACCCCCCGCCCCGCCCACTGCCCCCACGCCCGCCTTGCTGCTCTGGTACAGGTGGTCCCGCGAGAAATCCACCGCCCACGCTGCTGCCTCTGCCAGGAACTCAGGAGGCAGCCACCCCGCTGCTGCGTCGCCTGGGAGCGGCAGGTGCGCGGATGGGAGCGTGGAGGAGAGGGAGGTTGGTGGAGGGACGCTGGAGCTCTTGGGCTCGGACGCACTTGCTCCTGCTGCTGCTGCTGCGGCTGTGCTGGTGGCAGGGGTGGCAGCGGCGGCTGCTGGTCTTGGTGACAGTGCGGATGCTGTTTCGCCGATTGTTACAGGCGTTGATGTCGGGAGCGTCTGCATGTGCTGATGCTGATGTGGCACGACGCGCGGCTGAGCTGGCACAATCATAGCCAGCGCATGGTCAATCAAACGGATCGTCCCAGCACCACCTGCCACTTCCTCTCCACCTGCCTCCACCCTCCCTGCAACCTCCTCCACGCCGCTCACACCTGCAACTACACCACCTGGTCCCGTACCTGCCGCAGAAACACCTACACCAGATGCACCTGCCTCAGTCACACCCGCCAGGGATACCCTCCCCAGCACAGAGCCCCGCACGCCAGAGCCTACTCTCCCTGTGACTTCTCCCACCGGTCCCACCAGCTGGAAGGTCATGCGGCGATCGCTGAGGTCAAAGATTATGCGCGGGGGAGCAGGGCGCGCGGGGCGAGCAGGGCGAGCCAAGGAAACACCCGCGGCGGTGGGCGGTGCCTCTTTCGGCTTGAGCTTCTTTTTGCGCCATGAAGCCCGTGGAAACACCTGGGAGAACGTCAGCAGAACCGGAGCATCTGGAGTGCCACTCCCTTCTCTCCCCTCCCCCACGCCACCCTTCCTCTTCCCCTCCTTTTCCTCCTCCTCCCCCGCTGCCTCCTTCCTCTCCTCGCCCTCGTCCTCCTCCTCATCCTCATCACCCCACAGCACCGCATCCAACCATGCACCAGAGTCCAGCTCTGTGTTCCTAGGCACGGCTGCTGTCCTCAGCACCTCCCTAACTCGCCTTCTCACTGCCGCCCTGCCTGGATCCTCATCTTCCTCCTCCTCATCCTCTTCCTCCTCCTCCTCTGCCTCGTGCACACGCCCATGCTCATCCCCAGGCATATCATCAACCCTACCAGCAGCACCATCGCCCCTACCACCACCTTCCGCATCACCAGACACACCCGCTGCCCCCTCCCCACCTGCACCAGCACCCCTCCCTCCCTCTCCCTTCCCAACCCCGTCTCCTCCCTCCTCTCCCACCTTCCTCCTTCCCCTAGCCTTGGCCCTAGCTTCGGCCCGACCCTGGCATTCGAGCCGGAGCAGCAGCGGGTGGATTTCCCGAGCCTCTCCGTCTTCCTCCCAGCCTCGGAACGCCCTGGGCTTGGGCCAGGACGCACCTATGGGCTCCAGAACCACGCCATCATCATACACCAGCACATCCCCATACTGCCCCACCAGCTCTGCTGGCGGCTGCTGCTTTCGTGCCGCCACCAGCACACCTCCCTTTTTCCCTCCACCCTTACTGCTCTTCTCACCCTTCTCTTCACCTGAGCCCCCTGTGCCGCCATCCTCCCATTCTAGATCCTCGTCTGATTCCTCCCCGCCAGAAATATCAAGCCTCTCAATAGTCCCTTCCTCCTTGCCGCCTTGCTCTGCTCCAATACCACCCTCTCTCGTGCCATCCAACTTCACTTTATCCGCCTCCATGTGCCTTTCACTACCCATCTTCCCCTCCACAGCCCCATTTTCCCTCTCATCACCTCCCTGCCTCGCTCCCTTCCGCTCCCTCTCCCGATCCCCTTCCTCCTTCAACCCCTCGTCCTCTTCATCCTCCTCCTCCATCTCCTCCTCTCCTCCCATCACCCGCACTCCATCTCTCTCCCGTCCCTCACCCTCACCCTCGCCCTCCCAGCTCTCAGGGCGTTCAGGGCTGCCCCACACAATCTGGTCCTCCCAGTCGCTCTGCATGAGAGCAGAGAAGACAGCACTGGGTGTGCTGTCAAACACTCCTGCAAACGACTCTGCCAGCTGTATCAACTCATCCTCCTCCGGACCCTGTCCTTGAGAAAACAGCCCGTCCAAACGATGTTCAACGGATCCCCTTGGTCGCTTCTTCATCCTCGTTTTGAGCGCCTTCTTTTTTAGCACCTTCTTTGCCGCCTTGAGCTTTGCTCTGTCCGCTCTCTTGCCCAATTTCGTGCCTACTGCCACAATTTCTCGACTTGCTTCTCTTCTCGCTCCTCCTCGTTCCTCAAGACCAACTCTCACCATCATCCCCTCAGTCTCCCGCCTTCTTTCATCACTCTCTTTTCCTCCTTCGTTCAGACTACCCCCCCCCACCATCACCATCTCTCGCCCTGCTTCTCTTCCCTCGTCTCCTTCGTCTTCATGACCCGCCCCCTTCACTTTAACCACTCCCACGTCCCCTTCACCATCCTCCCCCTGTCCTCCTTCTCCCTCTTGCACCCCTTCGCCTGCTCCTCTCTCTTGCCATTCTATCTCTTCCTTTCCTCCCTCCCCAACCACTCCCTTTCTCATCCCCTTCTCTTCGCCCCCCTCCTCTCCCCCGCCTCCCCTTCCCCCATACCCTCCCTCCTCAACCAACCTTCCTTCTCTTCCCTCCCCTCCCACTCCTCCCCCCTCCTTCCCCCCTTCCTTCTCCCCTTCCACTCCCTCCCCCTCTCCCAAGCTACCTCTTTCTCCTTCGACTGTGCCCCTCTCCTTTCCCCTACCGTCACACACAGCAGCATCCTCACCTTTGCCGTCCCCACTCCCCTTTCCATTCTCCTCTCCAATCGCCTCTCCACTTCCCTCTCCATTGCCCTCTCCATTGCCCTCCCCACTGCCCTCCCTTGTCGTACAGGCATCAGCAGCATCGTCCTCAGACTTGATTTTCTCTCCGCCCACCCCCACCTGTATACCATCAACTGCAGCTTCATCCGTCCCATCTTCCTCTCCCTTCCCCTTCCCTCCCTTTCCCTCCTCTCCCATCGCCTCCTCCCTTTTCTTCTCAGGCCCCTCCGCACACTCCTGTTGCCCGTGTGCCTCCTTCAACTCCCCCAATCCCCCCACCAAATCCCCCACCAAACCCCCCACCACTCCCTCTTGCACCTGTTGTCCTTGTCTCACCAATATCATTCCCTCACCTTCGCCTGCCCCTCCCATCCCCAACCTCTTCACTTCGCGTGCCTCCCCATCAGCTAGCCCTGCTTCGATCACCCTCTTCTCTCCCTCACCTTCAGGAACAACCTCCTTCCCTTCTTCGCCTCCACTCCTTGTCACTACACCTTGCTTCACTCTCGTCTCCCTCTCCATTGCACCGCTGCCATCCATGTCCTTACAGTCACCCCTTTCCATCCCCTTTCTCTCACTCTCATTCACATGCTCCTCCCCTCTCTCCTCCTCTCCATTTGCTCTGGTCCCTTCCAAGTTTTCTCCTTCCACTTCCATCTTCTCAACTTTCCCCCCTTCACCTTTCTCCCCCTCTTCTTTCCCCCCATCTTTGCCCACCTCCTCTTTATCCCCCTTCTCGACTTCCCTCTCCTCCAACTCTCCTCCCATTTCCTTTCCCTCCTCTCTACCCACTCTCCCTTCCCCAGGCTGTTCGTCCACCTCCATCTGTTCACCGACCTCCCTCTCGTCCTCCTTCTCTCTCTTCTCCCTTTTCTCACCCTTCTCTTCGTTGTCCTCTCTGTTCTCCTCCTTCTCCTCTCGCCTCTCCTCCTCCTTCTCATCCCTCTCCTTTCCTTTATCCTCCTCCTCCTCCTCCTCATTCTCCTCCTTCTCATCCTTCTGCTCTCCCTTCTCCTCCCTCTTCTCGCCCATCTCTTTCGTTACTTCACCCATTCCTCTCTCCTCCACTCCTTCTGCCTTTAAACCATCCCCCTTATCCTCATCCTCGTGACTACCATCCTGTAATTTCTCATCCATTCTGTTTTCATCCTCTCGGTTCTCATCCCCCATATTATCATCCCCTCTATTCGCATCCCCTTTATCACCACTATCCCCCAGCTTGCCTTTCCTTGCCACAGGCATCACGTCCTGCTCCAAACCCCCTTCCACTCCATGCTTCATCCCACCTTTCCCCTCCGCACCACCGCCTCCCTCTCCTCTCTCCAATTCCTCTCCTCCCTTCTCTTCCTCTCGTGCTCCTTCCCTTTGCTCTTGCTTCTTGGCCCTACCCTCCTCCACTTCCTTCTCCCCAGTACCTTCTCCATCTCCATCACCATCACCATCACCATCACCATCACCAGCGTCAGTCCTATCGCCCTTCCCTCCCTCCACACTCTCACCCACCACTTGCATTTTAATCTCAGCCCTGTCACCAACAAACCCCTCTCCCTCTCCTTTCCCTCCATTCTCTCCTTTCCCTCCTTCCTCTCCTTTCCCTCCTTCCTCTCCTTTCCCTCCTTCCTCTCCTTTCTCTCCTTCCTCTCCTTTCTCACTTGCCTCACTTGTCCCCTCGCCACTCTTCTCTGTAACCATCCGCAATGCACCCTCCTCATCTGCCCTCCCTGTACCCGCTTCCTCCCCACTGGCCTGGCCACCGCCCTCCTTCTCCTCCCCAATCTCACTCTGCACAGCCCTCCCCAACCCATCCCTGTCGCCATCCCTACTCCCAACGGAATGACCGCCCTCATGCCCATTCAAATGCCTATCGCTTCTGCCAGGCCCATTCGCATCACCTAGCCCATCCCCACTCCCTCGCCTGTCACCACCCCCATCACCCTCGCCTGCCCCCGCCACCTTCCCTTCTCCTTTGCTCTCTTCATTACCTCCCTCTAGGCTGCCCACTTTGCCGCCCAGTTCGCCGTCCCTTTCACCATCATTGCCACCCTCAGCACCACCCGCCGCACTTTCTTCTTCAGCTGACTGTTTCTGGGGCATCTCAGAATCAGCAGATCGTTCCCTCGTCTCAAAAGGCACTTGAACCTTCTTCATCTCCTCTTCCCCATTTCCCCTCCCCTCCTCGCTCTCCCACTCCCTCCCCTCCTCACTCTCTTTCCCGCTTCCCTCCTCACTCTCTCCCCTTGTGCTCGTCGCAGCTTCTTCCCTCTTCTGGGCCTCACATTCCCTCACACTCCTCGCTTCGCCTGCTGCAATTAGTGACCCTTCACCTGCACCTTGCAACCCTTCCAGCTCACCACCATCCAACCCCTCCACAACTTGTGACTCCTCTTCTTTTCTCACAGCCTCTGCTCCGCCTGCTGCAATTAGTGACCCTTCACCTGCACCTTGCAACCCTTCCAGCTCACCACCATCCAACCCCTCCACAACTTGTGACTCCTCTTCTTTTCTCACAGCCTCTGCTCCGCCTGCTGCAATTAGTGACCCTTCACCTGCACCTTGCAACCCTTCCAGCTCACCACCATCCAACCCCTCCACAACTTGTGACTCCTCTTCTTTTCTCACAGCCTCTGCTCCGCCTGCTGCAATTAGTGACCCTTCACCTGCACCTTGCAACCCTTCTACTGCACCATCTAGCCCCCCTGAAACCGGTGACCCCTCTCCTTTCCTCCCTACCACGCCCTCCTCTCCTTCCCTCAGTCCCACCCCCTCAGGCCCCGGTTGACGCACCTCAGAAACAGCTTCCCCTGCAGCACCACGCAACCCCTGACAGTCCTTCAATGCTAGCCCCTCTCCTTCCCTCTGCTCCACCCCTAACCCTTCAGATTGCTCCATGCCTGTAGTCTCTCCCTCACCATCCCCACCACCAATCCTACCAGCCCTTCTAACATCCTTCTCCTCTAGTTTCTCCTTGTCCTTTCCAGCCCTAATAGGGCTTTGAGAAGACTCATTTGACTTCTCAACCTCCATATTGCCGCTTTCAACCCCAATCTCCGTGCCCTTGCTAACCCCCATATCCTGCTCTCCAGCCCCCACCGCTGCCCCTGCCCCTGTGTCAACCTGCCCAGTCCCCACCTCTCCTGTGTCACCTCGCCCAGACCCCAGCTCCCCTCTGTCACCCTGCCCAGTCCCCACCTCCCCCACGTCACCCTGCCCCACCTCTGCTCGCTCCACTTCCATCTCCTGCGTCTCAATACCCTCTCCAACCACCTGCTTCACTCCACCTCCTGCCTCCCCTCCTACCTCCCCTCCTGATTTTCCTCCGTTTTCCACTGCTGCATTCGCCCCTTCAGCACTTGCCCCTCCTGCCCCGTCTCCTTCCCCTATTTTCGCCTCCTCGTCCTCCCTCCCACCTCCTCTTTCCTCCTCATCCTCGACCCGCTCATCCTTCTTCACATCCACCATACCCGCACTCCTCCCCTCACTCCCTCCCTCACTCTTTCCCTCACTCACTCCCTCATTCCTGGTTCCATTCTCTGGGACGCTGCCCTCTAGCCTTCTAGGCTCGCCCTCCAGAGTGCTTGAAGGCATCTCAAGAGTGGTTCGAGGCTCCTCTTCCCTATCACTATTCTCCTCAACCCTTTCCTTCTCCCAACTATCCTCCTCTCCACCATTCCTCTTTTCCTCAACCCTTGCCCTGTCCCCTTCCATTACCACCTCAGCATCACCTCTCAAGCCTTCTTCCTTCAGCCCTTGATCCTTCTCATCGGACCCTCCCTTGTCCATATTCCCATCTTTCTCTCCCTTCTCCACATCTTCATTTTTCTCTCTCCCCATGTCCGCACTCCCATCTTTCTCTCCCTCCTCACTTCCATCGTGCCCCTTCTCCTGTCCGTCCCTTTCATCCTCCTCTCCAGCACTCCCCTTTTCCTCAACTCTAGCCCTCTCCTCTCCCGCAGCCCCCGCACCCTCGCCCTCGCTTCCCTCTTTCATCAACCCGTGTTCCCTCTCTATTTCATCCATTCCCTCCTTCTTCCATTCTCGGCCCTCCTCTATCCTAGCTCTTCCTATTATGGCCCGATCCGCCTCTTCCTCCAACCCCTCCTCCTTCTCCTCCTCCCTTGCTGCTGGTTTCACCTCTTCTTTCATCTGACTTTCAATCGCCTCTCCTTCCCTGAATTTTACTCCCTCTTTTTCCTCCTCGTCCTCCGCGTCCTCTTCCTCTTCTTCTTCCTCTTCTTCTAGCTCTTCCTCTTCCTCTGTTTCTTCCTCTTCCTCGTCGTCATCCTCCTCCTCTTCTTCCTCCTCTTCCTCTTCCTCCTCTTCCTCTTCCTCCTCTTCCTCCTCTTCCCTCTCCAGCATCTCTTGATATTGTAGCTCTTTCTCAAGAGCAACAGCTCGCTCTCGCATCATCTCAGCCGTTCGTTTAGGCGACGGTGCAGATCGAAGAAGCACCTCGTCATCCTCTTGCCCTGGATCTAAAAGAAACAAATACACACACATTTCCCATGCCCACACATTCCCCGTTCACACAAAAAAACACACATCTTAAGGCTAAAAAATAATCAAACGCAAGAAAAGGTTAAAAAAGAAGATGTAAAAAAAGTGCACGAACCATGGGTTCCTTTCTTGCAGCGTGTTGAAAAGCCATCTAGCTCATACCTCTCACAAAAGCCAGCAGGCAGCCCCACTCACTCACCACACACAGGCGGTGCTCGAGGCAGCACGCAGTGACTTTTGAGTCGACTCAAAAGTCACAAAGCCAGCAGGCAGACCCACTCACCACACACAGTCGGCGCACGAGGCAGCATGCGGTGGCGCTTGGGGCGAGACCCTCGCTGCACGACGAGCGACCAGAAGGAGCCCTTGATGCCAAAGATGTCTGAGAAGCGCAACACTTCCTTGCCCCCTTCCTTGAACAGCACTGGCAACTCACTCCTTGCCCCCTTCCCACTTACCACGGGCAGGACAGGACACCCAGGAGGCAACACACCTCACACAGCCCAACTCACCGCAGGTAGCAAGCAAGCGAGGCGGTGCCCGGTGCCTCTTGGGGCGGGAGCCTCTCTGCACAACGAGCGACCAGAAGGAGCCTTTGATGCCAAAGATGTCTGAAAAGCGCAGCACGTCCTTGCCCCCTTCCTTGAACAGCACTGGCAACTCACTCCTCCGCTTCACCTCCTCCTCCCCTCCCCTCCCCTCCCCGTCCTCCTCTCCCTCCTCCTCTCCCATCCCTCCCTCCAGCCCCTCCTCGTCTCCTAGACCTTCCCCCTCATCTTGCCCCGCCCAATCCATCTTGTCAGTGTCACGAGCACCAGCATCCCTGCCCTCCTTTCCACCCTCCCCCTCCACCCCACCCTCTTTCCCCCTCTCCACGCCTCCCCCCTCCCCTCCAGCCTCATCCTCCTGTTCTCTCATCTCCTCATCCTCCCTCCCGTCACCAGCCAGGCCGTCTGCTTCTCCTGCACCACCTCCTCCCTCCTCCTCGCCCCTCACTCCCTCCTGTTCCTCTCCCTGTCTTCCTTTCTCACTCTCTAGTACCGGCTTCCCAGCTTCCCACTCACCACTTCCAGCTCCTCCCAGAACCGCCTCCCCATCTGCCGCAGCACCGCCTTCAGCACTCTCTTTCTCCTCCTCAGCCTCCTCGTCGTCCTCCCCCGCCCCTTCCTCCCCCTGGCCTCCCTCTTCCCCCTCATCCAAGCCCCCCTCCCCCTCATCCAAACCCCCCTCCCCTTCATCCATTGCTTCCTCCAACGCTGCTTCTAAGTCCGCCTCCAAATCGTCCTCCTGCTCCTCTGCTCCCTCGTTCTCCTCCTCCTCCTCATCTCCCTCCTTCCTAGACTCTTCTCCCACACCTTCTCCCACACCCTCTCCCTCACCATCTCCCTCACCCTCCCCTTCTCCGTCCTCTTCCTCCCCTCCCTCCTCCTCAGCTTCCTCCTCCGCCCCTTCTTCCTCCTCTGCCTCCTCTTCCTCCCCTCCCTCCTCTGCCTCCTCTTCTTCCCCTCCATCCCCTTCTGCCTCCTCTTCCCCTTCCTCGTCTGCATCCTCTTCCTCATCCTCCTCTTCCTCTTGACCAATACCTCCATCGTCCTCCCCCCTATCTCCCCCTACCTCATTATCTCCTTCTTCAACTTCTTTGCCTTCCTCTTCCTCCTCCTCCTCCTCCTCCTCTTCACCCCCCTCCTCTTCTTCCTCCTCTTCGTGCTCCTCCTCTTCTTCCTCCTCTTCATCCCCTTTCTCCTCCTCCTCGTCCTCCTCATGTTCATCCAACCCTTCATCCAATTCCTGTGTGACCCCCTCTCCTTCCTCCTCTTCACCCAACCCCTGGTCCAAACCATACCCTTCCTCCTCGTCCATATTTCCATCATCCTCTCCTTCCCCTCCTTCCTCTTCCTCTTCCCCTCCTTCCTCGTCCTCTTCTTCGTCTTCCTCCTCCTCCCCATCCTCGTCCCCCTTCACCTCCTCATCCTCCTCACCGTCATCCTCATCCTGCTCTGCTGCACCTTCCGCTTCCTCCTCCCCCTCTTCCTCCTCGTCCTCCTCCTCTTCTTCGTCCTCTGTGAACCCCAATTCGCCTGGGGTAGTTGGCACTGCAGTCCATGTGTGTAGGGGGGGAAAAGTTGAAATTGGGACAATCAATACAAGGACAGAAAGACAGAGCAGAACCAACACAGTAACATTGACAGGCACCAATAGCGAAACCCCAGCCAGAGAAATGGGCATAATTTCAAACAACCCTGCCCCAACATTATGACATATGCAACCCTGGGCAACTTAGCAATTGATCTTCGTATCCACTGACACATCACAATCCATGTAACCTGCCGATAGGTCCCCCCTACTTGTAACAAGACCTACATGCAAAATCGTCAGCCTCATGACCTTGAGACGCAAATGCAGCTTCGTCCTCCCCTCCACCTCCCTCCTCCATCCCCTCTCTACCATCCTCCCCTGCTTCCTCCCCACCCTCCTCTTCTTCACCCTCTCCCCCATCTTCATCAGAATCCTCCTCCTCCTCCTCGCTTCCTTCCTCTTCTCCTTCCCCCTGCCCTTCTGCATCCCCTTCTCCGTCCTCCTCTTCTTCACCTCCTTCGTCTCCTCCCTCCTCTCCCACTCGTTCTTCCTCTGCCCTATCTGCCTGCCCGACCTCCTCCAATTCGTCTAGAAGCCCATCAAGTTCCTCATCCTCATCGTCCTCCTCCTCTTCCTCCTCTCCTTGCCTCACTTCTTCCTGCTGCTGCTGCTGCTGCTGCTGCTGCTGCTCGTCTCGTTCCATCCCTCCAAATCCTTCCTCTCCGAATCCAGGATCAATGCTAGCCTCCTCCTCTTCCTCCGCCTCGTTATCTTCATCCCCTTCACCCTCACCCTCACCCACTTCCTCATCCTCCTCATCCTCTTCCTCCTCTTCCTCCTCTTGCCCTTCTATTCCCTCTTCTGCCCCAATCTCCACATTCCCCATATCCCCAAACTCCAATTCCAACCCTGTCACCTCCTCCCGTTTTTCCTCCTCATCCTCCTCCCTCCCCTCCTCCTCCTCCTCCAATTCCTCTTCCTCCTCGCCCTCCTCGTCTTCCTCTTCCCCTTCTCCCTCGTCCACCTCTTCCTCTTCCTCCTCCTGCTCCGCACCCCCCTCGATTGCAGCCTCTCCCCCTCCAACTGCACCCATGTTCCCATCCTCAAACCCCCCTTTCCCTGCGCCCTGTCCCGCTGCCTCCTCCGCTTCCTCCTCCCTCTCCTCCTCCTCCCCCTCCATCTCCTCCTCCTCCAGGTCATAATCCTCCTCCTCCCCTGCATCACCAGCACCAACCCCTTCCAGCCCAGCAGCATACTCAAACCCACTTCCACCAGCATCGCCGCCACCACCTGCATTCCCACCAGCAGCACCAGCCGCACCAGCAGCAGCCGCGGCACCGCTGCTGCCAGCGCCAGCATCGTCCTCCTCAAACACCTCGTCTATATCCTCGTAGTCCTCTGCGTCATCAGCTTTCCGGTCATAGTCTGATCATCAGGGCAGGGACAATGGGGCGTGCACACAATAAGGACACCAATCAGCTTTGCAGTCCTGCAATCCCCCATCGTCCTCCTCAAACGCCTCGTCTGTATCCTCATAGTCCTCTGCATCGTCAGCTTTCCGGTCGTAGTCTGCTCGTTAAGGCAGGGTCGAGGGGACACACAAGCAATTTTCTTATCAGATCAACAATCGAAACCCATGCAACTCCTCCTTTCCGGTTATAATCTGCGCGTCACCACAGCGACAAGGAGGCGCGCGCGAACAGTAAATACACAAATCAGGTTTGCATTCCTGCGATCTCCCATCGCTTCCCGCATTGTCTGCTTTCCCGATCATAGCCTGCTCGTTCGGCAGCGGCAACGGGGAATAGTCTGAGAATCAATGTCTCAGAGAACAGACTCACCGTCATCATCATCATCACCAGCTTGCCCGGCCCCTGACCTCGCCTCAAACTGTCAGGAAGGATTCAATTCAAAGCACAGGAAAATGGCAAGGAAGCATCAAGGGAGGCCCGCAGACGCCGAGCAGGCTGAGCGGTGTAAGATGCCACGTTTTCTGAATAAAAAACTGGAAGATAGTAAGCAAATTCACATATTTGCATCCCATCCCAACAGCACTTCCATGTCGGTCAAGGCTGGGCAGAGCTGGGAGCTTAGGGTTCTCATTAGGTCAAGTACTGGGTCAATTCGAAAAAAAATCACCTAAAGAAGAAAAGTAACGAATTATTCATCACTCAACAATACCTCCATGTCAGCCAAGGCTGGGCCGAGCTGGTCCGCCAATCCAGCTAAGTGGTCCCTCGCCTCCTGCGGCATAAGACAACGAACATCGTGTAAGAGACGGTTCAGGAGGGGTAACACAATGAACCAGAGTGTAAGAGTCAGATCAGGAGGACGGTAAAGACAAACACTGTCAGGAACCAGGACAAGACCGGTCCGACTCTGCTAATATGCAACACAGCCTTAACCAGCAACCATTCCTGTCAGAACGCGAAGAACCTGACTTCCATGTTCTTAGCGCAGTCATGTTACAGTTTATGCTGAGAAATTAGTGGCAAACAGCCCTAAACTTTCACGAAATGTTGATGGTATTTGAAGGATACTAGAACCGAAACCGGGTACTCTAATACCGACCTCATCCATGTACTCCTCCTCCAGCGAGCCCTCGTCGTTCACGTTCCCAAGCATAAACGCCAGCATGTTCGGCACACCCCTCTCCTCGTCATCGTCCTCGTCGTATTCCTCCTCCTCCTCCTCTTCGTCCACATGCTCGTCGTCATCGTTACCCTCGTACCCGTTATTGTGGCTAGAGTAATCCATGAAAGCGACGCCTAAAGAAGAGAGAGAGAAAAAATGAAGGTTACGTGGGTGCTAGCTCGCGACGAAGCTGGTCAGTAATAAAAACGGTGGTTCAGTGAGCTTCTTGACGAGTACGAGAAGTTGTAAATCCAAAAAATACGGAGCGACTACGAGATATGAATGCTACTCGCAGCAATCCACCGCGTAAAGCAATATCCACTAATCGAACGAAATCGCTTTATCCAGAACCTTGTTAGGTCCAATTCTTGAAACAACTGAGCCGTTTGCCGTAACTTTCACGTAATCGCAAGAGAAATCGCTATCGCAAATTTGCAGATAAACTGAGAAGAAATTCTCCCTGACTGACTTGGTGACCTAGTCCTCTTCGTCGACCAGACTACATTATATACCTAGCAAGGCGTCCATCAGGAGGCACTTTTGCTCGTTCCAGTCCAGGCAGTATCAAGGTGGGACGAGCCGCGCATGGTCTTTTGGGGGCTGGGGTCCGTTTTGCACCAGACCACATTGAAATTGCCGAGATGTCCGAGTTGGTGAAATTTGTTTCAGGATGGACAGAGGTCGCGGGTTCGATCCTGGATGAGAGTGTTCACCTGCATAGCCGTAAATTCGGTTCCGTAGATCAGCAAAATGTGTAACAGGCTTGACAGGCGAAGTGTTATGCGAAACTACGCTGCCAGTTCGTTAACGCTTGCCACGTTGCGCATTGCGATTGATTGGAACTGTCCCACTGTCAGAAGAATTTCTGACTTTCAGGGCCAAACCAAACCAGTACCTTGGTTGAAGCTGCGGTCTACATACCTCAAGCGGGAGGCAAAGGTTTATCACTTGAGAACAAGGTAACACTGTCCCCAAAGTACCCCTTTGCGGAGAAGCGACCGTCGAGGCGGAAGGAGGGAGGGGGCTGGGGGTGACCAAACCAACAGCTGAAACAAAGTTCGCCAGATTATAACTTGACCTGCATGGTGGTTTGTAGACCAAAACTCTTCCCACCATGGTTCCCACAGCTCACTCGATATTCCCCAAGCGCTTCCCGTACCTAAACCTCGATCGTAATAGCGATTTAGGCCGCGTCGGCTGCACATTACCAGCGCAGTCAAACACACCGTCGCGTTCTGCCCTGTACTCGTTGCCAGATATCGGAGCGCCGCCTCGCCTAACAGGATATGTTAGGAAAAGTCGTCGCCTCACCTCCTCGCCTAAGATATGTTCGCCTCGTCGCCGTAGATCAGCTGGTCTCGTCGCCGGATATCTACTCACCGTATCGCCGCGTTTTCCTCTTCTCTGAGCCGCGAGCTTTACCAGCGTCGTCTCGCTTTCCAAGTAGCGCTCTCACCAAGCTCATGTTCCTGCATTTCAGTGTTACGGTCCACTCCTCATAGTGCTTTAGCTCCAGCTTTCTACCACTGTGGTACAACTGACAGGCTAAATTGTAGTATTCTCCAGGCACGAGATAGGATTTAGTATAAGAGAATACGTAGCACAAACTGAAGTCTGCAGCAAGGAGGTGCTAGCCGCGGACGGGAGTGAGTCGCGATATCGCGCGAGTGGCGGTGGGGTGTCTGCCGCGTTTACGTGCGGGGCGCGCGCTGGGAGCTGCCGCGATTACGTGAAGCGAGCGGCTGGTTATGAGCAGCGACGCGGTCTGGCGACGCGGACGGGAATGAGCACCGATGACGCGGAGGTGCGAGGGGGATGGGAGCGACAATTTGCGACGGGGTAAGGCGCGATATGCGAGCAGGCGCGGGGGGATAGCATTCGAGCAGTCGCGGGGGGGAATAGCATGCGAGCAGGCGCGGGGTGTTAGCATGCGAGCAGGCGCGGGGGGATAGCATGCGAGCAGGCGCGGGGGAATAGCCCCCCCCCCCCCCCCCTTCTCTTCAATCGTTACCCCCTTGCCTTTCGCGGCCCCATGCGCTTCCTCATTGCTTCCGTTTTACGATCCGTCATCCTGTCCATCATTTTTGCGCCTTGCCACCCGCCTTCATTGAACACGTGCCTTGTCCTCACGCTCTCATTGCCTATGTGGGCAAGCCCCAGGTTTCCGCTTCCCTATCCCTATCCCTATGCCCCTCAGCAACTCCCGTTCTCTCCTCATGTGCCTGTTGTTGTCTCGCTGTTGGCTTACCCTTCGTTTCCCCCCTGCTTCCCCTTTGTTTCCTCCCTGCTTACCCTTTGTTTCCCCCCTGCTTACCCTTTGTTTCCCCCCTCTCGCTCTTCCCTCCCTGCTCTCTCTTCCCTCCCTGCTCGCTCTTCCCTCCCTGCTCGCTCTTCCCTCCCTGCTCTCTCTTCCCTCCCTGCTCCTCTTCCCTCCCTATTCTCTCTTCCCTCCCTTCTCTCTCTTCCCTCCCTGCTCCTCTTCCCTCCCTATTCTCTCTTCCCTCCCTGCTCTCTCTTCCCTCCCTGCTCCTCTTCCCTCCCTGTTCTCTCTTCCCTCCCCGTTCTCTCCTCATGTGCCTGTTGTTGTCTCGTTGTTGGCTTACCCTTCGTTTCCCCCCTGCTTCCCCTTTGTTTCCTCCCTGCTTACCCTTTGTTTCCCCCCTGCTTACCCTTTGTTTCCCCCCTCTCGCTCTTCCCTCCCTGCTCGCTCTTCCCTCCCTGCTCCTCTTCCCTCCCTGCTCTCTCTTCCCTCCCTGCTCTCTCTTCCCTCCCTGCTCTCTCTTCCCTCCCTGCTCTCTCTTCCCTCCCTGTTCTCTCTTCCCTCCCTCCTCCTCTTCCCTCCCTGCTCTCTCTTCCCTCCCTCCTCCTCTTCCCTCCCTGCTCTCTCTTCCCTCCCTGCTCTCTCTTCCCTCCCTGCTCTCTCTTCCCTCCCTGCTCTCTCTTCCCTCCCTATTCTCTCTTCCCTCCCTATTCTCTCTTCCCTCCCTGTTCTCTCTTCCCTCCCTGCTCGCTCTTCCCTCCCTGCTCTCTCTTCCCTCCCTGCTCCTCTTCCCTCCCTGCTCTCTCTTCCCTCCCTGCTCTCTCTTCCCTCCCTGCTCTCTCTTCCCTCCCTGCTCTCTCTTCCCTCCCTGCTCTCTCTTCCCTCCCTGTTCTCTCTTCCGTGGTGCAGATTGTCAGGCATGAAGCAACCAAGCAGACAAGCTAGGTAGATTTAGGATAGTTTGATGTGGGCACTTGCCGTATCATAACATCGCGTAGCAAGTTACTTGCAAAATACCCTAATCAGTTTGAGGTTCTATATGTTCAATAATGATAGCATTGGTCATGTGTGGGTATTTGTAATGGTCCCTCCTTTGCAACACTGGTGGGTGTGGAAATTTTTATATTATGTGGTAAATAACTTGAGGTACAAGACAGCTTTGACCACTCTTATTATCGCCTCCGCTCACACGTTGGCTAATGTAGCTCCTGCTGAGTGGTGAGAGCCCATCTAGTGCTCATGCTGCCAATGTTGCCCCAGCTGCAGCAGCAAGTCGGAGGCCCAAGAAGGAGGGAAAAAAGGGTGGATGAGTGGCGCGTGTGGTGGCAGGGCGAATGGAGAGTGCCATAGAGCCCAGCATCCACTCGCCCTACGGCTCGTGTGGTAGCGTGGCGCCCATGTCCTCCCCTCCATGGCGCCCCGCTGCCCTGCTGCAGCCTGCACCCACACTCAGCTGAGCACGCGGGGAAAAGTGGAGAGTGGCAGAGCAATGGCAGGGCATGAAAAACGCAACCGGAAAGGAATGGAAAGGAGAGTGAAGGAGTGGGGAGGAGAGGGGAAGGAGTGGGAAACGATGGCGGAAACTGGGATGAAGGGGGGGAAAGGAGTGGCCAATAAAGGGGAAAGAATGGGAAAGGAGTGACTGGTAAAGGGGAAAGAAGGGGAAAGGAGTGACCAAGAAAGGGGGAAGAAGCGGAAAGGAGTGACCAATAAAGGGGAAAGAAGGGGAAAAGAGTGACCAATAAAGGGGAAAGAACGGAAAGGACAGGGGGGAGAGAGGAGGACAGGGGGGAGAGAGGAGGACGGAGGAGAGAGAGGAGAACAGGGGGGAGAGAGGAGGACAGGGGGGAGAGAGGAGGACGGAGGAGAGAGAGGAGAACAGGGGGGAGAGAGGAGGACAGGGGGGGAGAGGATGATAAGGGTGGGAGGAAGACAAGAGGAGGAGAGGATGACAGGGGAGAGAGAGGAGGACAGGGGGGAGAGAGGATGAAGGGGGGGAGAGAGGATGAAGGGGGAAAGAGAGGATGAGGGAGGTGTGCAAGTCAGGTGTGCTAGGAATGGGCAGAGGAGAAGGGGATTGGAGGGATGAGGAGGAATGAGCGGGTTCGTGTGAGCACAGTTGAGTGCGAGATGCACTTCCCTCCCTAAACCCGCACTCGCCGCGCCTCTGCCCCTCGCACCCTCGCTGCTGCCACGGGACTAATGCAGAGCAGACCCAATAACCACGCCCGCACTCACCACTACCGGAGGGCGGAGAGGAAGAGGTTCGGAGGGATGAGGAAAGGCGTTGGCGCGTGAATGGCCGCATCTCGTCAAACGTGCAGCTAGCGGTTCCGTGGCGATCTCGAGGCTGCAGACGCGGGTGGCGGAAGGGCGGAGGGGGAAAATCAAGAGAAAGTAGTGGGGAAATGGGGTAGGTAACGGTGAAATGAGGGGAAGGAGGGATGGAAATGAGGGCAGGGAAGGGAATGAGGGCAGGGATGGGGGAAATGGGGGAAAGGAGGGGGACACGTGAGGGAAAGAAGGGGTCGAGGGAAGGGAGGAGATAGAATGAGCTGAGAGAGGAGTTGGGGGGGATAGGAAGATGGGGGTGAGGGACGGGAGGAGTTAGGAAAAGGAGGAGGTGCGACCTGGGGGAACAGGGAGGTTCGTCCTGGGGGAAACGGAGGTGCGACCTGGGGGGAAACGGAGGTGCGACCTGGGGGGAAACGGAGGTGCGACCTGGGGGGAAACGGAGGTGCGACCTGGGGGGAAACGGAGGTGCGACCTGGGGGGAAACGGAGGTGCGACCTGGGGGGAAACGGAGGTGCGACCTGGGGGGAAACGGAGGTGCGACCTGGGGGGAAACGGAGGTGCGACCTGGGGGGAAACGGAGGTGCGACCTGGGGGGAAACGGAGGTGCGACCTGGGGGGAAACGGAGGTGCGACCTGGGGGGAAACGGAGGTGCGACCTGGGGGGAAACGGAGGTGCGACCTGGGGGGAAACGGAGGTGCGACCTGGGGGGAAACGGAGGTGCGACCTGGGGGGAAACGGAGGTGCGACCTGGGGGGAAACCTGGGGGGAAACGGAGGCGCGACCTGGGGGGAAACGGAGGTGCGACCTGGGGGGAAACGGAGGTGCGACCTGGGGGGAAACGGAGGTGCGACCTGGGGGGAAAGGGACATGCGACCTCATGTGGCGAGGACGCTGTAAAAAAGGCGACGAGACAAGCAGGCGATGACGCTGCGCTGGGAATCCGCTAGGCGTCCTATGCTCACTCCGCCTCCCATATAGCTCCCTTGGGAGGATGCCCAATTATGGCTTTGACGTGCTATAACTACTGTCTAATAACGCGGCAGAGAAAACGGTGCGTGGTTCCGTCGTGTGACTACGGTTTTGCCACAGGAATGCCCGCTACCCTGTACTCTCCTAGCTAGGATCGCGGCTGCGAGTGTGGTGGCGTGGAAAAGGCGATACGCCACGCGCACATGAATCGCGACCGTGAGCGGGGTGGCCCGAAACAGGCGCTACGGGTGACGCTACTAGCGGGAATCGCGGCTCTTAGTGTGGTGGGGCGAAACAGACGCCGCGTGCGGGAATCGCGGCTTAGCGTGGTGGCGTGAAGAAGACGCTACGCTACGCGCACCTGGCCAGAATCGCGGCTGTGAGCGTGGTGGCGTGAAACAGACGTTACGCTATACGCTGCTAGCAGGAATCGTGGCTATCAGCGTGGCTGCGTGAAACAAACACTACACTACGCACTCCTCCCTCATTTCGAGACAATGGGCGCGGTGGCGTGCAGCATTCTGCTGCGCTGTCTGCTGCTAGCGGGATTTGCAGCCTAGAGCGGTATGGAGTAGATTGCACGTTTGGCAGTTATGCTCATCAGGGCATACATTTTCTACTCCGCTTGGTTATTTGTGTTGGGCGCAGGGTCTTCCGCATCTCCGCGGATTACTTCCCCCAGGCAAACCAACTCACGAAACTGATTGTCATCGCACTCGGTGTTTGAATTCCTCGCACAAGTGTTTGGGGAAGAAGCTCACTTCGCTCTCGAATCATCTTGCGCCAGAGGGTGTGCACTAAATTTACCCCCAGAAAATCGCTTTTAGAATGTAGACCGCAGCTTTGATTCAAAACCCTCGACGCAACATTGGCGCTCAAAAATTGGCGAAACCCAAATCTGGTTCCGTCACAGCTTCGACAGGTGACAAAGAAGGTAGCCAAGTCCGGCAACGAACCTGTCACACAGGCTCGATCTCTGAAAAACTCAAGGAACACTCCTGCTTGCATGCGTTGAGACAGTTTTCAAGTTCTCTCTCTGAACCGTCCGATCTTTCCCGCCTTTGCCATCGCTCTTGGATCTGGTTTTCCCGCTCCTCCTCTGTGTTATTCATCAGAGCATGCAATCCCTTAGTTCAGGAGGAATCAGGAACCATGGAAGCTACAGTGACGACTTTCTTCTGAACTGCTAGCTTTCCTGATCTTGGTTGTGTGTCTGTCTGTGGTCCCTAAGTGACTCGTAGATCGTCATCACCAACTATGTCCACAGCTACTCACCGTCCTGACACGGTCGTTATTTTTTGTTAGCTTCCGAAATATGTATCCGATCCGTCGAGCGTCCGATCTGCTTAGGCGTATGTTCACGCCATCTAATGTCATTAGCCCCACAGGCTGAAACGACCAGGCACTCTGTGTCTCGTATGTCCTCATTGGATCGCTCGTCTGCTCACGGTGTACCTCGATATTACCGAGATTCGCCTGCTAATGTGGAGGCCAGCCAAGGCTTCCGACCAAATCGGGTACCGGGTAGTCTCGCTGACTGTCTAACAATTCGACACGTATCGAGCGTCGACGAGAATAGCTATATCGCGTACAGCGACCTGAAGAGCGATCACCGCGCAACAGCTGACCTCGTGAAAGGGAAGCATACTCCTGACCAGAGCTCGCCGAATGCTCGTCGTCCGCTGGTAACAAATCTGACCAATCATCACTCGAGGCTCCATATGGTTGTGAACCAGCCTGCATCCTCGCAGGCTCAAGGGGGATCCGATACGCAGCAACGGACTCCGGCCGCTGAAAGTCGCAACCACCGCGATACAACCGAAGCTTCTAGAACCGACCCTCAGAACCAGCGCCCGCATGACAGAAGCTCGTTCACGAACAGTCACAATGGGTCGATTCCTGTGGGAAATCGGACGGCTGAGGGAGAGAATCCGGCACAGGCGAATGGCGCGTGTCACGGGGTTACAAATTCTTCGCCATCGCTGCAGTCGACACAGCCGAATCCGACGGATCGTGTAGCGCAGCGTGAACCGAAATCTGGAGATCGGGAACAAAAAGAGCACACGGCTATAGTGATTCTCGGTGCTGCTAATAGTGCGGACAGGAAAGATCCGGTGAAGGTCACCTCAGCACAACAAAGGGAGGGAGATTCGGGACCTCGACTGGCCCAAAGTCAGGAGCCTGGAGCGGCTGCCGTTGGAATGTCTGCACTCCCTAGTTCACTCCGAGGAATGGCGCAGCAACAGGAGCATGCCAGAGTGCCAGAGAAGGCTTACCAGCAGCTGTTGCAGCAGCAGACAGCGCAGCAGCAGCAACCACAACAACCTCACCACCAGAAGCAGCAACAATTGCAGCAGCAGCAGCAGCAGCAACAGCAAAATCAGCAACAACAGCAACAGCAGCAGCAACAACAACAGCAACAGCAACAGCATCAGCAGCAGCAGCAGCAGCAGCAGCAGCAGCAGCAACAACAACAATCCGAGCAGCAGCAAGCGCAGCCGCAACAAGCACAGAAGCAGCAGCAACAGCCTCAATCTCAACAAGCACCGCAGCAGCAACAACAACCCCAGGCGCAAGGCCACGAGGGACAGGCGCAGCAGCAAGCTCAGGTAACGGCGCAGCAGCAGCAACATCCCCAGGCGCAGGCGCAGGCGCAATCACAGGCACAGGCGCATGCACAGGCGGAACAGCAGCTGATGGCATCCCAAGGTCAAGCTCAGCAAATGCAAACACAGCCGGCGCAGCAGTTTCAATCGCAGCAGCCTTTTGCTTCCCAGCTTTCCGTGGTGCAGCAGCAGCAGCCTCAGCAGCCTTACTCTCAGCAACCACTGCAGCAGCAGTACACGCAGCAGCAGCAGCCGGTTCCGCAGCGATTTCTCCCAACCCCAACACAACTTCAGGCGCAGCAGCCAGCACAGCCACAGCAGCAGCAGTTCGGTCCACCTGCGTACCAGCAGCAGCATCTTCAGCAGCCGCAACAGCAGCTGCAGCAGCAACCTTTTTTGCAGCAGCAGCAACTGGTATCAGCACCGCAGCAAAAGCCAATGCCTGGCCATCAAAGAATGGTGCAACCGCAGCAACAGCAGCAACAGGCTCAGCAACAGCAACAGCAGCAGCCGCCGCTGACGCAGCAGCAGCAGCAGCAGCAACAGGCTCAGCAGCAGCAACAGGCTCAGCAGCAGCAACAGCCGCAGCAGCAGCAGCAGCAGCAACAGACTCAGCAGCAGCAACAGCCGCAGCAGCAGCAGCAGCAGCAGCAGCAGGCACAGCAGTTTACTGTCGAGGGATCTCAGGCTTCCTCTTCCGTTCCTGTAATGAACGGTGTGACTGTGATGTCGCAGCAACAGCAGCAGCAGCAAGGCATGGCGCAGCAGAGCATGGCACAGCAAGGCATGGCGCAGCAGGGCATGGCACAGCAGGGCATGGCGCAGCAAGGCATGGCGCAGGCACAGGGCATTGGTCCGCCTCAGATGGTGGCTAAGCTTCAGGCGATGGTGCAGGGGCAGGGCACAGGGCAGCACGGGATGCCCCACCCTCACATGCATCACGGAATGATGCAACAGGGCATGGCGCAACAGGGTATGGCGCAACAGGGTATGGCGCAACAGGGTATGGCGCAACAGGGTATGGCGCAGCATGGGATGGCGCAACAAGGCATGCCGCAACAAGGCATGGTGCAACAAGGGTTGATGCAACAGGGGTTTGCGCAACAAGGCATGGTGCAACAGCAAGGCATGGTGCAACAAGGGATGATGCAGCAAGGCATGCCGCAACAAGGGATGATGCAGCAAGGGATGGTGCAACAGCAAGGCATGGCGCTGCAGGGGATGATACAGCAAGGCATGGCGCAACAAGGCATGGCGCAACAAGGCATGGCGCAACAAGGCATGGCGCAACAGGGGATGGCGCAACAGGGGTTGGCGCAACAAGGCATGGCGCAACAAGGCATGGCGCAACAAGGCATGGCGCAACAGGGAATGGCACAACAGGGGATGGCGCAACAGGGTATGGCGCAACAAGGGATGGCGCAACAGGGGTTGGTGCAGCAGCAGGCTCCACAGCAGTCGATGTTTGGCTTCCAAGGAGGGCCATCCGCCTTCCTGCCACACAACGGACAAGCCTACCAGCAACAGATGCAACAAGTGCAGCAGATGCAGCCGATGCAGCAGGTGCCCTCTTTCCAGCAAGGCCATCAGATGCAACAAGGCCCGGTACCGATGCAACAAGGCCCGGTACCGATGCAACAAGGCCCGGTACCGATGCAACAAGGCTCGGTACCAATGCAACAAGGCCCGGTGCCAATGCAACAAGGCTCGGTGTCCATGCAACAAGGACCGATACTGATGCAGCAAGGCTCTGTACAGATGCAACAAGGCTTGGTACCGATGCAACAAGGCCCGGTGCCCATGCAACCTTCACCTGGAGCGCCCATGCAAGCAGGCCTGCCAATGCCCCCGCACCAACCGTTCCCTGCTACTGCTGCCATGCCTATGACAGTGCATGTGGTTTCAGCTTCCCTTCCTGCCCCCATGCAGCAGCAACAGCAACAGCAGCCCCAGCAGCAGCAGCAGCCCGGTCATGTACCTGGACACAACAACATGCCTGGTAAGCAACAGACTCTCGTCTTTCTTATTGGAGACTCAGTTATTCTCCCTTGGTCTCCAACACGTTGTTTCATATACTCATCCCGATCACGCACTCATCTACCCCCGCTCTTGCTCTCTTTCCCCTCCCCTCTCTCCTCTTGTATCCAGCAGATGACTTGGGCTGATAAGCTCCCTTCACTAAGACGGAGTGGCAGGAGCATCCACTCCCTCCTTCCCTCTCGTTCACTCTTTCCCTACTGTATTCCCGCATTCCTCTCCCTCTCGCTCCCCCTCTCTCAGGCGACTTCGGGTCGTGGGCGCCCTTCACAGTGACGCAGTGGCAGGAGCTGGAGCAGCAAGCGCTCGTCTTCAAGTATCTCGTGGCAGGCTGTTGAGACGTCTCTCATCAGTCCCCGTCTTCCCTCTCTCCCATTCCACCTTCGCCCCATCCATCTCTCAGGCGACTTCGGGTCATGGGCGCCCTTCACAGTGACGCAGTGGCAGGAGCTGGAGCAGCAGGCGCTCGTCTTCAAGTACCTTGTTGCAGGCGCGCCCGTGCCCCCCCACCTCGTTGCCGCGCTTAGGGCCTCCTGCGCCCGCTTGCCCCCCTTGGCGGCACTGCAGCAGCCCCCTGCTGCCCCCGGCGGCCAACGTGAGTCTCTCTCTCCCCTGTGCATGTCCGTCCTATGTCCATCCATCCTATGCATATGCTCGTTCCTGTGCTTGCTGCTGCACTCTCACCTGCATCAATACTGATGGTTCCTTTTCCTCCTCTGCCTCATCCTCCCGTTCCTTCTCGTCTCTCCCGTCTCGTCTCTCCCGTCCCTTCTCTCCTGTCCCCTCTCCCCTCTCGCCTTGCTCCTCTCTCCCCGTCCCGCCCTTGTCCCGCCTCCCTAACCTAGTAGCGGGGTGGGGGCAGGTAACGCAGCAGGTGGAGCTGGAGCCGTTCAGACGCAGAAGAACGGATGGCAAGAAGTGGCGATGCTCCACATCTCGTCTCTCCTTACTCCTCTCTCCTCTCTTCCTGTCCCGTCCTTGTCGCCCCTCTCGTCACTGAGCAGCGGGGTGGGGGCAGGTAACGCAGCAGGTGGAGCTGGAGCCGTTCAGATGCCGACGAACGGACGGCAAGAAATGGCGATGCTCCAGAGAGGTATGTATGAGAGATGGGGATTCTCCTTCATAGAAATTTGGGAACAATCTGTTGCTGCTGCTGCTTTCCTCCCAAGAAGCACGTCCAGCAACGCCCGTAGGCATGTGGTGATTCCCTCTTCCATCCTGCTGTCTCTCTTTGTCCTCTCCCTCCTCTCCTTCCTCTCTTTGTCCTCTCCGTCCTCTCCTTCCCTGCAATCACTACCATGAGCGCCACATGCACCTTCCGCGCGCCACGTCCCCCCATCCATCCTCCCCTGTACTCCTGACTACCATTCCCCACCAGGTGGTACCGGATCAGAAGTACTGTGAGCGCCACATGCATCGCGGGCGCAACCGCTCTCGCAAGACCCACGACCGCGCTGCTCCAGGCACCTCCCTCGTTGATGCAAATGATGCTGACGACGGCCCTCCTTCTGCTGCCGCTGGTGGCGCTGCTGGTGGCGCCGGTGGTGCTGGTGGTGGTGGCGGTGCTGCTGGTGCTGGTGCTGGTGGCGATACCACTGGTGGCGATGCAAGCACGCCAAGGGCAGCAGGGGGTGCAACAGTGGGGGGTGCAGGAGGGGTAGGGGGAGGTGCAGGAACAGGGGTTGCGGGAGTGAAGGCAGGTGATATGACCCTATCTAGTCTCAACACCACCACCGATTTCACCACCTCCCAGAGAAATACTCCTCTTCCCGGAAGCGCCTCTTACCCTCCCAGTGCCACTTACCCTGCCACTGCCGCTTATCCAGGCATTGCCCCTTACCCCGGTAGTGCCACTTACCCCGGTAGTGCCACCCACCCTGCTGTTGCCATGTTCCGCCCATCTGCGGAGGGAGCAGCAGTGCCAGCGGTGCTGCATGGGAACGCCCCGCCTCCACTCACTCTCCCCCCTCCCGTGCATGCAGTCGCGGTACCTTCTGCAGGACAGGGTGGGGCAGGGCAGGTCGGGGCAGGGCAGGGTGGGGCGGGGCAGGGAGGTGTAGGGAACGGGGGAATGGTGGCAGGGGGAGAGGGAATGCATCAGTCACAAGGCGCAGGTGAAGCAGTGAGAGGGGCACCAGGGGGGATCCAAGCAGGAGTGCAAGGAGGGGTGCAGCAAGCAGGGATGCAGCAAGGAGGGATGCAGCAAGGAGGGGAGGGAGGAGCATCAGCAGCTATGGGCGTACAAAGAGTGGGCGAGGGGACACGAGGAGCAGGAGAGGGGTCTTTCCCCAGCCAGTAGGTTCGCCTCCTCACGGGTCACTCTCGTGGGTGCCTGCATGTCTCATTCACACACACTGTCACTCTCGTGGGTGCCTGCATGTCTCATTCACACACACTGTCACTCTCGTGGGTGCCTGCATGTCTCATTCACACACATTGTCACTCTCGTGGGTGCCTGCATGTCTCATTCACACACACTGTCACTCTCGTGGGTGCCTGCATGTCTCATTCACACACACTGTCTCTCTCGTGGGTGCCTGCATGTCTCATTCACACACACTGTCACTCTCGTGGGTGCCTGCATGTCTCATTCACACACACTGTCTCTCTCGTGGGTGCCTGCATGTCTCATTCACACACACTGTCTCTCTCGTGGGTGCCTGCATGTCTCATTCACACACACTGTCTCTCTCGTGGGTGCCTGCATGTCTCATTCACACACTGTCTCTCTCGTGGGTGCCTGCATGTCTCATTCACACACACTGTCTCTCTCGTGGGTGCCTGCATGTCTCATTCACACACACTGTCTCTCTCGTGGGTGCCTGTCTGTCTCATTCACACACACTGATTCAACCAAACCGTGCACTTGATCCGGTGCAGTCACTCTGGACATTTGTCGTGATTTTCTTCAGATTTCTTTGTATTTCTGTCGTTTTTTAGTGATTCTGTTCTTCTGGCTCCAAAAGCGTGCCTGTCTCACTCACTCTGGTCAGATGCCTCATGATCCTTGTTGTACCCCCGCGCCTGCCTCAGCCCTTCTGCTGCAGGGTGTTTTTGAGAATTCTCAAAATCGCTCTGTTCAGATGCCTCATGATCCTTGCTGTACCCCCGCGCCTGCCTCAGCCCTTCTTCCGTGCTTGCGCTTTCGCTTTGCCATCTATACTTTGGTGCTTTCTGTCAGTGCCACGCTGCGCTGGCAGTGCGGTTATTTTCCTGTCTTCCTTCTGCAATTCTACTCTCTTCTTCAGGTCTCCTGGTCAACACGCTGCAGCACCACACCACCCACCCTTCCAGATGCAGCAGTCGCAGCAGCAGCAGCAGCAGCAGCAGCAGCAGGAACAGGTGAGGCCAGGGCAACAGGCAGTGCAGTTGCAGTGGGAGCACGGTCGCTTGCCTCGCCAGCCCTTCTCCTACCAGCCACCACCACCGGCCCCACAGCAGCACCACCCAGCCCCACCCCCCCCTTCGCCCTCTCAAACTCCTACCAATCCAATGCAGACCGGACCTGCTTCTGCATTGAATTTCGCGCAGCAGCAGCAGCAGCAGCAGCAGCAGCAGCAACAGCAACAGCACCAACAGCAACAGCAACAGCAACAGCAACAGCAACAGCAACAGCAGCAGAACCAACAGCATCAGCAACAGCACCAACAGCAGCAACAACAACAGCAGCAGCAGCAACAGCAACAACAGCAGCAACAGCAGACATCAAGTGCAGCAGCAGCCGTACCAGCACCACCAGCAGCTCAAGCATCTCCTCGCCTGGGCAGCACTGGTGGAAGTCAGCTGCTGCCAGGGCACTACCAAATAGGAGGGCCCCGCCTGCACCCCTCCCCTCTCCTGGGGCCCAGGGCACCCCTCCGTGCCTCCACGCCCACACACGGCCCTACACCCCTGCGTGCGTCCACTCCCATCGCATCCACACCCACACACGGCCCTGCATCCCTGCAAGCTTCGACGCCTGCACCCTCCCCACTTCAAGTACCCAAAGCTGCAGCACCCCCGCCCTCTCCTTCCCTGCAAGTCTCCAGACATCCGCAGGCCTTCCCCTCTCCCTCTCCTTCTCCCGCTCCCTCTCCCTCTTTCCATGCGCTCAAGCCAGCTGCCTCGCCTCTCCTCCAAGTGTCGAGGCTCGGAGCCTCCCCGTACCAGCAACAGGCTGTAAGGGCAGCAGTATCGCCTTTCCAGCAGCAGGCACCAAGGTTCCAGCAGGCGGCTTCCTCTGACCAAAGACCCGCCTCTCCTGCCCTGCTGGTGCTGACACACCAGCAGCAGGCAGTAACGCCAGCCGCCTCTCCTGCCCTGCATGCGCTCACGCAAGGGCCCTCCCAGTCCTTTCGGCCCGTCAAGCCAGCAGCGTTGCCCGCGCTACAGCCAGCAGTGCGTACAAAAATCGAGATGTCTCAATACTCGCCAGCGCGACAACCGGCTGTCACTCCAATGCGGCAATCTCAAGGTGTTGCTTCCACTGGTGGGGCCGAGGGCGGGGATGGTGCTGGTGATGGTGATGGTGCTGGTGCTGGTGCTGGTGCTGGTGCTGGTGCTGGTGCTGGTGCTGGTGCTGGTGCTGGTGCTGCGAATGGGGTTGGGGCCAGAGGCAGCAGTGGTGCTGCGAGCTATGGTAACGCCCATAGCAGCGCATATGGAGCTGCAGTGAGCTCGAGTGTTGGGAGAGCAGAGGGCATGGACGGTGCGAGAGGTGGGGAGGAGGAGGGATGCAGGGAGGAGAGAGCGGGAGGTGGAGAGAGACCGCATTCAGCTGCTGCTGCTGCTGCTGCTGGTGCTGCTGCTGCTGGTGGTGAAGCAGCTGGAGGGATGCAAAAAGAGAGAGGAGGAGATGTTGGAGGAGCCGTGGAGAGCGGCTTAGGCACGGCAAGGCCATCTCCCAATGTAAGCACCGCCGTCGACTGATTTCCTTTTGAGGTGCCTAATAAATCAACTCCTCACAATGTTCTGAGGTGCCTTCAAATTAGACCGGTTTAGGCGCGGCAAGGCCATTTTCCATTGTAATAAGATGACTTTTGAGTTGACTCAAAAGTCTTTTGAGGTGCCTTCAAAGTAGACCTGCTTAGGCAAGGCTAGACCATTCCCAAATGTAAGCCTGCCCACCAGTGTAGGTCTTGTTGTTGTCTTGTAGCCATTCATGCATTTCTTTTTACCACCTGTTCCCAACCCCTTGTTCCCAGCCCCATGCTCCATGCTGCTTTTACATCTCCTCTGCTTTTGCTGAACGAGGCTGTCTGTGTTTGGTTTGCTTGTCCTGTCCCTCTCTTCCCGTGCAGTGTGTGTTGCAACCGACGTTCAGCCAGGCGGAGAGTGGAGTGGAGGGGGTGACAGCACTCCCGTTATAAGCTCATCCCCATGTCCTGTGGTCATGCAGTCCCATATACTGCTTTGTCTTTCCCCCTCCCGTGCAGTGTGTGTTGCAACCAACATTCAGCCAGGCAGAGAGTGGAGTGGAGGGGGTGACAGCACTCCCGTTATAAGCCCTTCCCCGGGCCCTGTGGTGATGCAGTCCCATAGAATGCTTTGAGTTGATTCGTAACTTGTCTTTCCCCCTTCCTCCCGTGCAGTGTGTGCTACAACTGACGTTCAGCCAGGCGGAGAGTGGCGGGGGTGACAGCACTCCCGTTATAAGCCCTTCCCCAGGGCCTGTGGTGATGCAGTCCCATAGACTTTTGTCACCAGTGCAAGTGGGAGCACCACAAGCTGCACACATACACAGGAGATAAGCAAGCATGCACGATAAGCAAGCATGCACATGCACCAGTGACACTTGCACTGGTGACAGGAATCAAATGTGCTCGTTGTTATCGTCATTTCCTGATCAGGATTGAAGTTCCATGGGATGGGAACGATTCAAAAGCCTGCATTGCTGAGAGCAGGCTTGCGGTGCGGGCTTGGTAGAACTTACTACTAAAGATCAGACACTGTAGTTTACACTACAAAAGCCCATACTAATATACGGTACTCTTGAGTTCAGCCACGACAGCTCGGCTCTTCTAATTTCAATTCGCCGATGTATACCGCAGTGGTGGCGCGGTTGCGGTTGCGTACGACTGACCGACACTGCCAGCTGGGGAGGCCGAGCTGACATGTGCGGTAGTGACAAGCGTTTGAGCACATGGGTACCAACCAAACAAACCAACCAAGGTACCGTACCTTACCTGACCCGGCGGCTAAACACTGGACTGGTGTATTTGCTCATACTGGTGTATCTGCTCATACTGGTAACTGGTGTATTTGCTCTTGCGTATTTGCTCTTACTGGTGTATTTGCCCGGGGGGGACTATTGGGGTTTACATGCACTGGTACGTTACATGCTAGTGGTTCTACAGCTTACAGCCTCAATACCTACAGAGTCTCACATCAGTTGGCATGGCATCATATACATTGTGAGATATTGCTTGCGAATGGCTGATACACCTAATGCAAATGAGAGCAATGTTTTGTATTACCAGACAAACAAAGCAATAGCCAGCATGGAAAAATCGATTTCTCAGTTGACTCTCAAGCTCCAAAGGGCCAGCGTCAGCAACAGTCGGACGCAACTGCTACTGATGTGCTCGTTGCATGTGCTACTGACGTGCTCGTTGCATGAGCTACTGACGTGCTCGTTGCATGTGCTACTGACGTGCTCGTTGCATGTGCTGATGATGGACTTGTTGCTGCTGCTGCTTCTGCTGCAAAACGAGTGCTCCCAGTGGCTGGCCGTGTGCCCCCACCCGCAGCAGCCAACACAGAAGCAGCAGAAGCAGCAGCAGCAGCAGCAGCAGCAGCATCACCAACAGCGCCACTACCACAATCTACCGCATTTTCCGATGCAGCGTCAGGGCCAGCAGTGTCTGTACATGCAACAACATCAGAAGCAGCAGCAGCCGGAGCGGACGCAGCAGGAGTAGCAGGAGCAGCAGGAGGAGGAGCAGCAGCAGCGGCAGCAGCAGTAGCAGGGGGAGGCGAGGAGAAGGAAAAGCCAGCTTGGTTGGGGTTGGGAGAGGGCCACTTGCCGACCCACTGGCCGAACAGCTCAGAGGAATCTACTCTTGACGCGTGAAGCCCTGCTGCGGCTGTCGCACTCTCATCAGCAGACAAAGCACCCACCGCTCCCGTTACTCCCGCTACTCCCCCCGCTCCTCCTCCTCCTCCTCCTCCTGCTGCTGCCGCCGCTATTGCCCTTGCACCAGCAGCAGCACCCATGCCATCGCTGCCATCGCTGCCACCACCAGAGTAACCACTGCCAAAGACCGGCGGGGTGGTGGTGGAAATGGAAGGGAGAGGCGAGGCGTTGAGTGGCGAGTCTGCAAGATGAAGCAGCTCGGCAGAGCTGAGGCGAGCCAGCCTGGCTGCTGCGGCTGCGAGCGCGGACGGCGTGAGCGACTCTCCGAACAGATCCGTCGAGTTCTGCCGCCCGAAGAGGTCGGCCGAGTTCTGCCGCCCGAACAGATCTGCCGAATTCTGCCGGCCGAACAGCTCCCCGGAGCTCTGGCGGCTGAAGGCGTCGGCAGGGTTGTGCAGGAGAGAGGCGGCGAGGGAGGCGGCGAAGGAAGGGCTGCTGAGATAGGCGGCGACTGAGGGACTGCCTATGTTGAAAGGGACGTTGCCGTTGCCCATGGTGAACTGGAGGTTGAGGCTGGGGCTCCCCATGGGGAAGGGCAGGGGCCCGGAGGGAACTCGGAAAGGGAATGAGGAGGGAGGCGGGTGCGAGGAGGGAGGGGTGGGTTCTGCTGCTGCTGCTCCTGCTGCTGGTTGTGTTTGTGGCTGTGCTGGTGGTGTCTGGAGCATTGGTTCAGATGCGCCTCCTGCTGTCCCTGCTGCTTCACTGACCCAATGGTCCAGGGATGACTGCTTGGGAAAGAAGTGACGGGGGCCGGCAGCAGCAGCAGCAGCATCAGCATCAGCAGCGTCAGCAGATGCGCCTGCTGCTGTCCCTGCTGCGTCACTGTTGCTGCGAGGGTTGCTGCTGGCATTGACCCAATCGTCTACCAGAGATGATTGCTTGGGGAAGAAGTGACGGGGGTCGGCAGCAGCAGCAGCATCGTCCCCATCCTCACAACCATCCGAATCACTACCACCATCATCATCCTCACCATCATCATCACCACCACCACCGTCGCCACGAGCAGCATCAGCAGCGGCAGCATGATCAGCCGCGGCAGCACTAGCAGCAGCAGCCTGCCGCCCAGCAGAAGCTCTGGCAGCAGACATATGGGAAGCATTGGCCTGGGCAGCGAGCATATGGGCGACAGAAGCGGCAGCCATGGCTGCTTTCTCTGCCTGTGCGATCACCAGCAGCGGGTCGTCTGCTGCGTCTGTGGCTGGCGGTAGCACCGACGCTGTTGCTCGCTTCAACTCCCAGCGACCACCTGGAGAGTGGGAGAGAGAAGAATAGAGGAAGGGGGATTAGGGAATGAATCTGGAAGAGCCTCAGGAGCCAGCAGCAGGTCGCCTGCTGCGTCTGTGGCTGGTGGCAGCACCGACGCTGTTGCTCGCTTCAACTCCCAGCGACCCCCTGAAGAGGGAGAGAGGTTCATGTGACGAAGGGGGATAGGCGGAAGGGAGATGAGGGAATGTGAGGGATGTGTGCGAGAATAATGGGGAGATTTTGAGACGTCTCAAAAACTCTCACATGAGAGAATAACGGGGAGGAGGAAAATGATACGAGGAAAGAGGGAAAAGACAGGGGGACGAAGGAGAGGAAGGTCAAGAGATAGACAACGAGGGAAGAGGAAAGGGGTGAGGGGAGAGGAAGGGAGGACAGGCAGGAAAGAGAGGGAGGAAAAGGGAGAGAGATGGAGGGAGGGAGAGCGAAGGAAGAAGAGAGACAAAGGAAGAAAGATGGAGGAAGCGGGAGGAATGGGGAGAGAGACACGGGAGCTAGGCGAGAGCATGCCGAGGGTGGATGGAGATGGCTGAGGTCCCCAAGATGTTGGTTTGTTATATTTATAAAAAACCAGGTGCAACACGAGGGATGGGAGGTGAGAGAGGCAGAGACTCACGGGAGCTAGGCGAGAGCATGCTGAGGGTGGATGGCGATGACTGAGGTCCCCACGGCGTTGGTATTTAGACTTTATGAAGACCCGCGCACAACGCGAGGGAGAGGGGGAAAGACTCACGAGAGGAAGGCGAGAGCATGCTGAGGGTGGATGGAGACGGCTGAGGTCCCCACGGCGATGCATTCGCGTTAAAATTCGCATTCGCGTTTGCGTTTGAAGCGCAACCACTGGCCGCAGCAACGGCAGCAGCAGAGGCAGAAGCAGCAGAGACGTTTGCAAAAGCGTCAGCCCCAGCAGCAGCAGTCGCAGCATCTCCAGCAGAAGAAGCTGCAGCAGGAGCACCACCACCATCGCCACCACCACCATCACCACCACCACCACTGTGAACAGCAGGAGGAGCAGCAGCAGCAGCAGTAGCAAATGGGGTTTTGGTGGGCGGAGGCAAGGAAGGGAACGGGAGGCTGGAGGCAGGCGGTGAAGCGAAGAGGGGAGGGCGGGGAGGTTTGGGCTTGCAGGAAGACGGAGAGAGGGAGAGCTCTGTTCCCGCTCCCTGGCGACCTTCTGGCGTGCTGTGGGGAGACAGAAAGAGGGAAGATGGGGGCGAATGGGGTTGGGAGGGGTGCATTGGGGGTGCTGAACGGTGAATATGGCAACCAGATACTTGCAGGGAGACGGAGAGTGAGAGCGAGAGAGAGGGAGTGCTCCGTTCCTGCTCCCTGGCGACCTTCTGGCGTGCTGTTGGGGAGACACGGCAGAGGAATGGGCGTGGGAGTTTGGGGTAGAGGGAGGGTGGGGCATTGAAGATTTGGGTAGAAGGAAGGGGGGCAGGGGAGATTAGGGCCGTGGAAATTGGGGCAGGGGTGGGTGGAGCAGTGAAATATGGAACTATAGAGGGGTAGAGGAAACTGGATAGAGGCGGTTAAGCAACAGCTTGTTGGCGCCTACAAAAATGAGGAATGTGCCTATGGAGGGGTAGAGGGAATTGAATTGAGGCAGTTAAGTAAGATGCCCACACGAGAAGATTGCTTGCAGAGGATAAGGGCATCGAATCAATACCTCATGTCACTCAGTCCAGCCTTGAAACGAGTAGCTGGCGAGGGTTGCACCCCGTATGCATCCCCACTCCTCACTGCTGCTGCTGCTGCTGCTGCAGCTGCCATGGTAGCAGGTGGTCGCACAGGAGGGGACTTGAACGTGCCCCATTTCACAGGCATCAGGCTGCTGTTGCCAGTGCCTGTGCCGTTGCCATTACCAGCATTCTCGCCCTTGCCCATGGTCTCCTGCCAACCCTTATCACCACCGCCCAATTGACCAGTTTCGTCTACTTCTGCTGCTTCTGCAGCACCAGCAGCAGCCACAGCCGCTGCCGAATCACCCTTCAGATCAGCCGTTTCCCCCACTACAGCAGCAGCACTGCCCCCACCCGAACCTAAACCGCCAGGGCTAGCCATATTGGCACTAGGGGAGTAGCCAAACAGGTCAGAGGAGTCAAGCCGGGCAAACCGAAGCAGCGGGTTATCGGAGAAGCTGCGGGACAGGCCCGGGGTTCCCGGGCCTGGAGTGCCCGAGCCTGGAGTCGCCGAACCTGAGAGGTACACACTGAGGCCTGGAGACTGGTTGAGGCTATACGCCCCCCACCCGCTTCTCCCTGTTCCTGCTGGGGAGGTGGCACCAGAAGCAGCTGCAGCAGCAGAGGCAGCTGCAGCAGCAGAGGCAGCTGCAGCAGCAGCTGCAGCGGAGGCAGCAGCGTCAGTGCTGAGCTGATTGGAGGGACCTGCTAGCCTAGCAGCATGAGCCTCAGTTGAACCTGCCCCAGTAAAACCTGGCTCAGTTGAACCTGCCCCAGCCACACCTTCGCCTGACCGTGCCTTGGCGTCGCTAAGAGGAAGGACAGATGGAGTGGACCAGGAGGGCAGGGCGGGAGGGGAAGGAGCACGTTCCACAGATACAGAAATTGGCTCCGCTGCAGGAGAAATAGATGCTGCTGCCTCTGCTGCCCCACCTGCTTCTCCTCCTACCCCTCCTGCCCCCGCTGCCCCTGCTGCCCCTGCTGTCTCTGTTGCTCCAGCCGTGACCACCACCTCTGCTGCCCCTGCTGTACCGCCAGCACCGGTTCCGCCACTAGAATCAATTGCTGCGCTTGTCGCTACAGCTGTGTCTAATGTGACTACGGCTGTAGCCGTGCTCGTAGTTGTAGCTACAGCTGTGTCTATTGCCTCTCCAACTGTAGCTCTTCCCGTAGCTGTAGCTGTGGCTGTGTCTATCGCGTCTCCGGCTGTAGCAGTACCTGTAGCCCTGTCATGCGCCATGGGGCCATACAGCCCAAGGCCCAACCCCGCTCCCTCACTCGAAACCCCACCTTGAATACCAGGGTTGCCATACAAGGCAGGGTTACCATAAATAGCCTCTGCTGCTGCTTGGGTTGCAGGGGTGTGTGCTGCTGCATCGCTTGCATCAGGAGCAGGGGTCACAGAAATAGGGACGGGTGCAGCAGCGGGGGCAGCGGGGGCGGGGGCGGGGGCGGGGGCGGGAACAAAGGGAGGGGTTTTAGCAGGGGTTTTAGCAGGGGCAGCAGCAGTGGTTGGGGTGGCAGGGGTGGCCGGGGTTGTGGGGCGGGCGGAAGAGAGGGCAGCGAGGTCACCAAAGAGCTCAGCAGAGTCCATTTGAGAGAACTCCAGAAACACGTCCCCAGACACACGCACCCCGCCCGGCAGAATCTGAATCACTGGCGGCTTCTTCCCTCCCTCCCCACCTCCTCCACCGCCCTTGCCACCACCACTCCCCCCTCCTCTCCCTCCCTCCCCTCCCTCCCCTCCTCCCACTCCCTTGCCTCCTCCCCCTCCTCCCACTCCTCCCACTCCCTTGCCTCCTCCATCCCCCTTCTCCCCAGCCCTGGATCCCGCCTTATCTGCCTCTCCTGAAGCTGTGCCCTCGGCCTGCCCGCCAGCCAACCCATGGATGGTCACAGAGCCGCCTGCCCCGGATCCACCCTCCCCCAGCTTCACCTGCACCTCCCCGTTCACGCCGTACTGCTTGCCCCACGCTGCAATGGCGGACGCCAGGGCGCGGATGGAGATGGATTGAAGGGCGGTGCTCTCGTTGCTGCCGCTCGTGTGCGTGTGTGTAAGGGTGTTGGTGTTGGTGTTGGCGGTGCTTGTGTTTCTGGTGTTCGTGAGGGTGTTGGTGTTGGTGTTGACGGTGCTCGTGTTTCTGGTGTTCGTGAGGGTGTTGGTGTTGGTGTTGGCGGTGCTCGTGTTTCTTGTGTGCGTGTGCGTTTGCGTTTGAGTGTTGGAGTTGCTCGTGTTTCTTGTGTGCGTCTGTGTCTGCGTCTGTGTCTGCGTGTGGGTGTTGCCTGTGTTGCTGGTGTGCTTGTGTGCGCTGCTGGTGACGGTGTCGTCGTTATTGGTGTGGACGTGGGTGAGGGTGCGGGTGTGAGTGTTGCTCACATTGCGGGTGCTGGTGATATCAACCGTGCTGCTAGGGTTGATAGCAGATGCGCCTGCACCAGTCCCACCTGTGCCTGTCGGCCTGTCCGCTTGCCCTGGCTGCTGCAGCAACAACTGTGCTAGACGCCGCCGCTGATCTTGTTGCTGCTGCTGCTGTAGTGCCTGCTGTTGCTGCTGCTGCTGCTGCTGCTGCTTCTGTTGTGCCTGCTGCTGCTGCTGCTGCTGCTGCTGCTGCTGCTGCTGCTGCTGCTGCTGCTGCTGCTGCTGCTGCTGCTGCTGCTGCTGCTGCTGCTGCTGCTGCTGCTGCTGCTGATGCTGCTGTTGCTCTTGTTGTCGTTGTTGCTGCTGCTGTTGCTCTTGTAGCTGCTGCTGCTGCTGCTGCTGCTGAGCGTTTGGCATCTGGGAAGCATTGAACAGTGCGCGTAGAAGCAAGAGCTCAACATCGTTCAGTGTCTTCTTGTTTCCACCACCTGGGGCCGCCACCCCACCACCTGACGCAGCAACCCCACCACCTGAACCAGCACCCCCACCATGTGACCCGCCAGCGCCACCTACGCCACCAAAAGCCATCCCTGTCCCAACAGTTGGAACAGCTGAGGCGACATTAGCAGGAGCACCAGCAGCACCAGCAGCACTGGAAACACCAGCACCGTTTGAAACCGCACTGGAAGGGCCCGTACCAGCAGCACCACCTGCACCAGATATACCTGCACCGGTTGCACCCCCCCTGTGCCCTGCTTCCAGCCGCTGCATCTCCTGCTGCACCTGCGCCTGCTGCTGCGCCGTCAACGCCCCCGCGAGCACCCCTTGCGCCCATGAGGTGCGCGCAGGGGAAGAGATAGACCCGGAAGAGGGAAACATGGGGAAGAGGGGGTTGGTCCCTACCTGCTGCTGCTGCTGCTGCTGCTGCTGCTGTTGCTTCTGCGTTTGCTGCTGCTGCTGCTGTTGTTGCTGCTGCTGCTGCTGCCCGAGATACTGCCCAAGCCCACCGCCTCCCCCGCCAGCAGCTGCACCAGTTGAACCTACCCCAGCCCGCCCTGCCCCACTTGTACCTGCACCATCTGCACTCGCTGCGGCGGCTGCAGCTGCTGCGACTGCAAATTCAACAGCCTGGGCCGACACTACACTGGATTGCTGGGTCAGGGGGTTCTGGGGAAGGGTGTTCTGGGAAAGGTTGCTCTGGGGAAGGGGGTTCTGGGGCAGGGGCTTTTTTATGGATGGGGAGCGTGGAAGGGGGACGGGGAAGCCGCTAGAGGCGGACTCATGCGCGCTGCTGCCCACAGACGAGGCGCGGGGGAAGAGCGGAAGCACGGAGGGGCGGCGGAAATTGCCTGGCGAGGGGAGGGTGATGTTGGGGAAAGGTAGCGCATTGCTGGAGGGAGCTGCTGCTGCTGCTGCTGCTGGTGCTGGGGAAAGGGGGCGCATTCCTTGTGCGACGCTTGAGGTGAGGATGGAAGGAGGAGGTGAAGGGGTCAACGCGTTTACGAACGCTTTGGTCTGCCCTATAGCCGCAGCAATCGGGCTTCTAATGAGGCCGGTGCCATCAGCTGCATTAGAAGCAGTCGTGTTTGGTAAAGCAGTGTTGGGAGCAGCGGCGGCGGCAAGGGCGAGAGAGAGGGCAACAGCAGTTTCAGCGTCAGGAGGGGGGGTGGATGCTCGGGCCGCAGAGGCCACGGAGAGAAACCGGGCTGCTGCTGCTGCCAGAGCATCACTAGGACTCAACGCCGTAGTCAACGATCCCTGCTGCTGCGACGGCCCCTGCGACTGCCCCTGCCCCTGTGACTGCGCCTGCGACTGCCCCTGCAGCTGCCCCTGCGAGTGCTGCTGCATCAGCTGCTGCAGCTGCCCTTTCCGCACCTGCAGCTGCTCCTGTTCGTGCTGAAGCGCCTCGTACTGCTGCTGCAACTGCTGTTGCTGCTGCTGCGACTCGAAACTCGACAGCAGGGCGGCAACAGGACCGTTAAGAATAACCGAAGCCACGTTTCCCACAGAGCTCGAAGTAGGGAAGGGGCTAGGGGAGGAGATAATACTAGCAGAGCCCTGGCGCGTAGGGGGCTGTATCAGGGGGAAGGCTAGTGCCGACCCCGCGGATCCGGTCGCGGAAAGAGCGGCGGCAACGGCGGAAGGGGGCAGCGGAGGCGCAGGGGGGAACTTTTGCAGCGAGCCAGCTTTGCGCGGGGGAGGTAGCGACCGAAGGACATCGTCTAGGGTTTTCCTCGAGGTTGTCGGGTCCGCCACGATGGAGCACGGAATGGGCGGCAGACTGCTGTTTCCCGACGCTTGCGAACCCTTGAGCGCGCCGCCGCCCTTTCCCCCAGTGGGAGAGTCCGGCGTGGTGAAGTTGGTTCGGGTGGTGGCTCCCCGGATCTGCCGCGCAGCCTCGTCGTAGGCTCGGGCGGCTTCTTCCGCCGTGTCGAACGTTCCGAGCCACTTGCGGATCTTGTGGTTCGTGTCTTTAATCTCCGCGATCCAACGGCCAGAAGCTCGCTGCCTGACTCCCAGGTACCCTCTGTTCTTCCCCTTATCCTTATCCTTGGGCTGCGGCGCCGAGGCGTTCTTTTCAGGCGTCTTTCCACGTGCCTTTTCAGGTGCTTTTCCAGGCGCGCTGTCTGCCTGATTCTCTCCATTCTGCGTTTTCGACACGTCATTTTCAGGAGCTTCGTCAGGTGCTTCGTCAGGTTCTTCATCAGTGGAACCATCTGAGTACTCCTCCTCCGTTTGCGGAGTCTTCGCCCGCCGCTTATCCTGCGAAGTTGTCGGCGTGTTATTCGCCGACGCTGTGTTACCCGACGTGGCTGGGACCGACGACGCTTTAGCATCGCGCAGCGAAACGCCGGAAGCTTCGACGACGTCGCATTTCCTGCGCTTAGACGGGTTCATCCTCTCCCGTTCGCCTTCGCCATCCGCTGTGGTGTCCGCGCAATCGCCATCGCGGGGCATTTCGCCCTGCAAGCCGCCGTAAGCCGACGAAACCCTACAAGATGGTAGCTGTCGAACTTTGGAACAAAGAATAAACGGCTAGAACATTATAATCCTTGCAAATACCATAGCACTTAGTCCGAAGGCACTGCAAGAACGGATAACATAGCAGGCTGACTGCATAGTCATCATCAGCCTACTGCTTTTCCTTGGGAAAAGGTAACCTTGACAACCAATCACAAGGTGCCAAAGGTCACGTTCTGGTACACCACAACCACAGCCACACGGAACCATGAAACGAAACGAAGGACAGCAACCCTAGATATTGACACAGCCCTGGGTGAGCTTGGTCTAGCGGTCCAGTTGAGGTTTGATCTGGTCTGGTTCGGTTGGTTGGTTCTTCAATCGGATACGGGGTTGAGGCGATGCGTGGAGAACCCGATAAGTACAGCTGGCGAAAAGGCAAAGGTGGCTGCGAATCTCCTGGCGACGATTCGACATCGAGGGAGGCGTGGCGATGGCTTGCGAGAAACAGCTGGTCTACAAGCAAAAGCAGCCAGGTTCGGCGGGGTGGCATGCGAATTTTGAAGCAACCTTGAGTGGTTCGAGGGATCATTCATAGCAAAGCAACGGAGAGCCTTATACTGAGATTCTTCAACCTCTGGTCTTATACGGTAGTAATCGGTTTAGACAGGTGTTCTGAAGTTAGTAACAGTGTAGCTAGAAGTTGCACACAATCCTAGTACCGACGTACATACCGTAGTAATGTTTTTTTGTTGATTTGCATACTGCTCAACTATTCTCTATTTCAAGAGCAAAATACATCCCTTCAAGCAGGCATCGTCACCACCATTGCCAAATACACCATCACGAGTCAATAGGCAGAATCACCACAGCATCATCGGTGCTTGGTGATCTTCTCAACCAGCTGGTCGTATTTTGCTCCTTGCACCTCATCAATCTGCGCCAGGTTGCGGAAGAGCTTGAACGTCGGCACAGACCGTACTCCAAGGCCCTTCGCCAGAGGCTGCTCACGCAAGACAAGCAGACAGAAACATGGCATGTGAGCATAAAGACACCTGAGGCTGTCAGAGCCACGATCGAAGGGTCAGAACCATGAAAAGTGTATGTAAGCAGGGTCCTGTGCTCTTGTGAAGTTAGTTGTGCAAATTGAATGTGCATAACAGGCGGATGAAAGTGCTTGTACAGATAGCAGCGGCTCTGCGTTAATTTGGCAAAATAACCGGGAATGTAACTGCGTCTTTCTTGCATACAAGGTCAGAATCACATTGTGCTTAACCTGCTGGTATATAACTTAATCATTCGTTTCAGATCCTTCTTATTGATTAATACCAGGACAGTTTCCCCCCTTCCATCCGCAAACTAACAGGCACCACTTCTCGCATCCTTCAGTACAGGGACATCCACGCCTGCTCACCTTCTGGTTCTGGTTGCAAGTCCAGCTTCGCGAACTCCTCGTCCTGCATCCCTCGTTACAGTCACAGCCACAAGGCTCACCTTGTTATTCTGGTTGCAGTCCAGCTTCAGGAACACCACGTCCTGCATCTCCTCCGCCAACGCCTCCACCTTGGGCGCCAGCAGCTTGCACGGGCCACACCTGCCGTACAGCCATGGGAATGGGTAGAGCATTGGGTCGTTGGGCCGTTAGAAAAGCTACCGCTGGGCCGTTCTTGAACAACGTTCAGCTGACACCTACGGCGCGTTGCGGTGCGATGGCTTTGAGCTCGCTTGCGAATCACCCTGAGTTTGCCGGTCGAGTAGAGCGGGGGAAAAAACTAACGCTTTTGTCGGGCTTTTGGAGATGGTAAACTAGGGTGACAAGAACGCACCACTGGGTGTACATATCGAGCACGACGAGCTTGTCAGCGGCCGCCGCTTTCTCGAGCTCGGGGTAGAAGGAGTCCTTGTCCACCTCCATCATCCGCGACGTCGCCTGCGCTGTTGCCTCCGCCGTCTGCGCCGCTGCCGGTGCTGCGTCCCCCGCATTCGCCCGCACTCTGCTGGCCTTGCTCACGGCCGCTGGAGCGTAATAAGGGGAAAAGACAAGACAGACGACGGGAAGCGATGTTTTTTGACCGATTATGTCATCGATATCGCCGTGCATCGTGATGTACGGGCGACGACGAACGAACATTGGGGGTACGAATGTTTCTCACGTCGGGCATTCAACTGACCATTTTGACGTTGCCGGAAAACAGCGGCATTTGATTTCAAGCTTCTTGTGCTGCTTGGGAACAGGGACGACGCAACCGCGCTCGAAACTGTCCCGCTCGAGGAGCGTTGCACCAATGCTCCAGTCGAAGCGGAGACAGGAGCCGCAGCCACAGCTACCAGTGCCATATCGACGGAACGACTAAAGGCCTGTCGTAACGCGACGAGGTAGAATGGACGGATAGACGAGGCAACGACCAGGATGAGAGCACGGCACAGATGCTGAAACGTTGAATTTCACTGAACAGAATGAGAAGTGGAATTCTGTGCAGCAAGGAGAGGGATTGGAGGTAGGAAAACCAATGCAGATTCTGGTGAGGGGATGGAGGTTCTGTAACACAGATTCTGCCACACCAACCAACCAACATCCAAGGAAAGGATCAGGGAAGGACCTGCAGAAGGCAGACAAGTCGGTGGTCGTTGGGCAATAGCTCCCTGCTGATTGGATGGAGGGTGATTGTCTGGCAGCCAGAGTGTGCCAGCGAGGCCACTACTGTGGCACAGCCTCGAGATTTGCCAAGGCACTGACGTGGAGTGTCGTCAGAATGTTTTCGTTCCGCAACGTGCCAGCCACAAGTCAGGCCGAAGGATAGCAATCGCAGCTGACGTGTACGAATCCACGAAAGCAGAAGGTTTCGAATCTCCAACGCCAGTGGAGGCTTATCAATGGGTGAGCTGGAAATTCAGGACTTCCGCAGTTATACGACATCCTTCAACGCTGCTCTGACTGCCCTGAAGTGAAGCTGGCGTGGCGTGTTTGTCTCGGAGTATGGTGTGATCCCAAAAATTTCACGCCGCACTGTCAATTCTCTCAACCACGCAATAAGCTACATGACCGCTTCATATCGCGTGAAATCCATTGGGATGAGCCCCTGTTGGCTCAAATCGCCCCTAGTTTACAATGTTGAGGCCATTTTGCTGGAGACCTCTCTCCCTACCATCATGATCATGAAACATAATGGCCAGTCGCGGCGCGAGTAGGTCATCCTCAGCAACGAGCCCGTAGCTATCGCCAGGGCCCACATCGGCCTCCCTTCGCCTGCCTGCTCATCGCAGCTGCAGAAGCAGCATCGTATCTCATCAGTCTCACCCTCTCCCCTGATCAAGCCAACCATTGCTTAGCCCGTTGTCCGCGCCTCGAGGAGCCGAGTTCCCTCTCCAACCAGCGGAAAGTCGTCGCATTTCTCTTAGATGACCTACATTTCTCTTGCCGAGAAACTCCGCCCAGCCGCGGAGTGCCTCCGCGGAGTGGGGTTCTCCGCGCGGGACCTCCGCCGCGCGATCGCGCATTTCCCCGGGATCCTCGCGCGCAGCATCGAGGAGAAGCTCTGCCCGCTGCTCGCGCTCCTGCAGCACCTCGATATTGCCGAGGAGAAATGTCGACGCGTGATTCTCGCCTGCCCGCGGCTCGTGAGCTACAGTATCGACCTCAAAATGCGCCCGCTCGTTCTCTTCTTCCAATCCAACCTGCCTTTTTCGCCGTCGCAAGTCGGGCGTATGGTTACCCGATGCCCGCAAATCCTGGATGCAATCTCGAGAAACAAATCATTCCCGCGATTCGGCATCTGCGTGGTATAGGCCTCGTAGAAGATAAGCTACATAATCTCCTCCTACACCACCCCTACATCCTTTGCCGAAGCGTCGGGAAAACCCTCGAGCCGCGGACCGATTTCCTCCTGTCTCTAGGCTTCACACGAGCTGAGGTGGCAAGCATCGTCGCGGAGTTTCCTCCAATCCTGACGAAACACGTGGACAACGATCTGCGCCCGAAAGTGGCGTACCTGGAAGGGCCCATGGGAAGAAGCGTGAGAGAGGTTTTGGGGTTCCCGCGGTTTTTTCTCGTTTAGCTTGGCGCGGCGAATTATCTCCAACCATAGGAAACTGCAGAGCAAAGGGCGTGAGGATTGGACACTCGTAGACTTGTGCAAGAAGAATGTGTGACCAGGGTTCTGGGTTGAAGGATATCATCATGTCTGTTCGATTGGATAGCCCAGCCGCAGCTTCTCGAGCAGCCTCACTAGATGGCAAGATGCTGAAGTGAATGCTGCTCTCCAGTTGAATGCCAGTTCTATGCTTGGCACTTCTGGCAGTGTCAGAAGCAGGGAACCCAATAGTGCTTCTTCAACAAAAGACAGCTGTGACATGAACCAGATGGTTGGTGGGTCAGGGTTTAGGATGGTAGGTAGGTAGCTACCCCTTAACTGCAGAATATGTTGCACTTATTGGTGTATATTTTGTGCCATTATTACCGTGCACCTCTCCCTAAAAAAACCTTCCGATCACTACTCCTCGTTAGTACCGTAGCCCATCAACTGCTGCTTACATACTCTAGCCACAGCCTGCTTATACGGTACCGTAAGTATCTATATCAGCTGCACTGATTACTCTCAGGTAGGAACCACTTCTTGTTTCGGTGCACATACACAGCCACACCCATACTCACTGCAGCACTGCCTGCCTACAAAACTCACTGCATGTCTGCTGATAGAACTTCTCACACTGCGTAGGCATCACTGCTTGCTTCGGTGCATGTACACAGCCACGCCCACACTCACTGCAGCCACCGCTGTCACCGCCAGCATTGAAACTGTGTACGCCCACATTGCATTATCCCAACTTGAAGCCGCCGCACCTTCTTCCGACCCTGCACCAAAGGCTCGGGACCGAGCCGGAGAGGCAGGCCCGGTGGATTTTCGCGGTGGAAGGGCGAGGTGGGGCGGAAAGGTTGGAGCGACGAGAGCCGTTGATTTGCGATGTTGTGCGCTGGTGATGTGGCGCGCGAAGCGATCCGCGTTGCGACCCATGTTGCGACCCGTGTTGCGAGCCATGTTGCGACCCGTGAATGGAATGGGCGTCTGGGTCCTCGTCATCGTGAAACTCGAGATGAAGCTTCAAACCCTGGGGACGAGGGGAGGTGCGGGGGTGGGGGAGAAGGAAGGGGGAGAAGTGGTGAGCAGCAGTTGGGATTTAATCTGCAGCAGCGAGGAGAGAGCAAGGGAAAGGGCACCCACAGAGAGCAGGAGCAGAGCAGCAGCAAGAGAGGAGGAGTGGGTAAGGCAAGGGGTCACAGTACCTTAATGCCGGTGGCCTTGGCGAACTTGACAGCCGCATGCAGATCCTCGTCGGTGGATATGACCACCATGTCATTGTCCTCGTCCGCGTACTGGGGTAGATGGAGGGAGTGATGGGGTGAATACGAGTTAATGGTGCAAGTGGAACCAAGGATCCTCATCAGTGGATATGACCACCTGACAAGAAGACAGTTCACAAACTCGTCCCAACTCATGCCGACGACTCACGAGGATGGAGGGTGGGTTGTCGGGGCCATAGTCCCCCCCCCAGTCTGGACGCCACAATGTGGCGCCTCAGAAATCACATCACAGACTGTCTCCTCCTACCTGACACGGACGGCTCACCCCCCCACTCACGAGGATGGAGGGAGGGTTGTCGGGGTCATAATCCCCTCCCAGCCTCGACGCCACGGCACACACCAGCTCCGTCATGCTCTCACTGCCCGCTGTGAACCGGTGCACGCACCAGTCTGGAGCTTCTAGGCGCCTAGAGAAACAAGACTAACCAGGATGGAGGGAGGGTTGTCGGGGTCGTAGTCCCCCCCCAGCCGTGACGCCACGGCGCACACAAGCTCCGTCATGCTCTCACTGCCTGCTGTGAACCGGTGCACGCGCCCCCTCCGGTCCTCCAGCTTGAACGAAAACAGATCCTCCCCCAACCCCCCCACCATCGCTCCTCCCATCGCTCCTCCCATCGCTCCTCCAGGTCCTATTCCCGCCCCTGCGCCAACTGCACCAGCAGGAGTAACACCTGCTCCCGCTGCTCCACCTGCTGCTGATGCACCGCCTCCTCTCCTCCTGCTTCCTGAGGGGCGCACCTGGTCTGACATGTCACTGCTGCGCACACTGGTGGGGGGGGAGAGAGGGCGAAAGAAGGAGAGGGGTAAGAAGGAGAGGGGGTTGGGGGGGGGACGACAAACTTATATAGGGGCGCACCTGGTCCGACATATCACTGCTGCGCACACTGTGGAGGTGGGGGAAAGGCGGGGGAGCAAGAAGTAGGGGAGACAAGGACTTGTAGGGAGGCACGAGGTCCGGCTAATCACTGCTGCACGCACTGTGGAGAACGGAGTGAAAGACGACGGTTTAGGCATAGAGCTCAGAAAGGATTGAAGCAGCCTCACTTCCCCGCAGTCCAACTCCCGCAAGTCCTAATCTCCCAAGCCCCACCTCCCCCAAGTCGGACCTCCCTCAAATGCCACCTGCCCCGATTCCTACCTGGCGGTGTCTTCCTCGGTGTCAGCAGGCGGAAGTGAAAGGGCGGAATCCCAGAAGCGCTGCATGAGCTGCCCCACGGCGTCCCCGCTCTCCGACCCCGATGCTGCCTGCAAGGCATGAGAAGCACGTGTGGGATCAGGAAGGGGCAGGGGAGTGGGGCAACGCAGGCACAGGGGGGCAATGGAAGGCATTAGTGCCAGGGCGGAGTCCCAGAAGCGCTGCATGAGCTGCCCCATGGCGTCCCCACTCTCCGAACCTGATGCTGCCTGGAAGGTTCGGGAAATAGGTATGGCAAACAGAATGGGAAACAGGAACAACAAGTGGTATGAAGAAAGAGGTATGGTGTAAGAGGTGTAAGACAGGAGGAATGGATAAAGAAGAATGCATCTGCGATGCAACGACATGATGCCGCGAGTGTGAGCGGGTCTTACCGCAGCAGAGGACATGGCGCCTTGAGTGAGCTGCAGCACGTCCACATATGCCACACAGTTGCCATCTGCTCCCATGCCATCCATGCATGCCACCATGTCACCATCCATGCCAGCAGCATGCCAGCATGCCAGCATTGCACCATGCCACCATTCATGCCGACGCAGCACCATGCGCCGTGATGCCAAGCCGACATACGACAAGCATGCAAACACAAAGGGGGGAGCATATGGGGAGGCAAGAGCACAGAGGAGTTGGTGAGCCATGTTTCATGGGCCTGAAAACGCGTTAAGGCAGCTGATCTGGGTCCAACAGTGGGAGGTGCAGGACAGGGCCATCACATCGTGCATGGAGTGGAGTGGAGCGAAGGGGAATGGAGTGGAGTGCATGGAGTGGAGTGGAGTGGAGTGG